GTAGGTAGGTAGGTAGGTAGGTAGGTAGGTAGGTAGGTAGGTAGGTAAATCATAAACCATCATATCATGGATTTACCTTGCCACCTCTTCCTCTTGGTGCATGAGTAGCAGCAGGTTTTGAGCATTTATAAGAAGACCAAAACAAGGCAGACAGAACAGTAACAGGATCAGTGAACTTCTTTGCAATATCACTCCCACTCGCCTCATGTTCTTGCTGCCAAATGTCTGCGAAACAAATGCGAAAAAACACGATGACATTGTTTTAATTTGTCTTCGAAACTTCTAACATTTTTCAAAACACACAATGAAAAGTACTACAGAGATGAATGTGCTTCTGACCTGAGAAATGAGCGTGTCACAAGCCAAAGCAAGGCCATAGCCTGTGGCAGTTGTGGTCACGTTAATCGTCTGAAAGGTGAGGGGGACAAGCTGTGCGTTAAGCCACAGTTAAGAGCATCTCCAATTTGTTGATATTCAACTTTTATATGTTTGGCCTTCCTTACCTAAATGGCTTGTGGGCTACAAAAGACCCTTGTGTGTACAAGGTGCATTCAACCAATACCACACTGGTTTGTATTCCTTACACTTGTGCAATATCAATCATTTACATGTTCACCTGCCTGCAAGTGTATAACGGAGTTCTGTATATTAGCCCAGAGCACACACTTCAGAGCTCACATCATCCATTCAGGAGATGATCACTTTACCTCATGAGCCATGACTCTGTCTGAAAACTAATAAGAGAGTAACTGTTTGTGAACAAGTTATCAATGAGTCTACTATGTATACATTTTTACAGGTTAAATTGAAGCAACAGAAGATGCATGACTATTTGAAAGTACTGTGACTAGTCAATGGAGTCACAAAAAATAAATAAGTTAGTCACATTCTATCTTGACCCAGGCTGTAAACTAAACATATATTATCTCACTAAAGCTTCAAATATAACCAAATTGTGTGGATTTGTTAAAAAAGAAAAGTCAGATTTCACAGGAAAACAGGTCTGTCACCTAGGTTTTCTCAACCAACCCAAAGTTATTTATCTTTATTCAGCTCTACGTTTCTAGTAGCACTTTTAGCCACCTCTGATCTGAATTGTTCTTATCAAGGTGAACGTTTTCTGCAGTATATTGCAAGAGTGTCCCAGAGTGTAGAACCCAACACAGCAGTAGACGTAAGATCCAGGGAATAACTATTTCAACTCAGCATGTGTTTGCTTCCAAACAATCTGGGAGTCACTGGAGTTCAGTCCATACTTGTGTCATTTTGCCACTAAAAGAAACCCATCCCTTATGCTTAAAATTGGAGCTAATGCAAGAAAGCGACAAGTTAAAAGTAGTTTTTGTGTATGAATATACTACAGACTCTTTTTAATCAGGTTATGTTATCTTAGAGTTTATCTCGACTAACTTTGGAGGTAGTTAATAAATTGCTGTTTCTTTAGATTTTAATGTTGAACATGTTTCACTGTAGTAAGAAAAAATCCCTGAGAAAGAATTTATCAAAATACTTCCACATTTTAGCTTAGCGTTGCCAATTTTAAGATAACTTTTTAATTAATCACATTTAGAATAATTATTTTTTAACTTAGAAGTACATGGGTAGGTGGAAAGAAGGAAATCACTCGGTTAGGGTTAGGTTTAGAAACCTACAAGATCGGGAATAGGAAAACTTCCCACATTGCACAAAAATTTTCACTCCAATGACATACTGGCAAAAATACAAAGCTAACTCATTTCTCCCTAGTGGGTGACACGAAAACATCCACATGAATTTGGTTTCCTTACTCCCACAATTGTAGACCCGCGATCTGCAATGCAGACAACCCTTGAGTCAAAACGACAGTATGTCTCAGCTCCCAACACATACTCAAACATGCACATGGGTTATTTTTTAACATGCAAAGATCAGAAATCCTACCGCTGAGGCAAGCGCATATCCAGCCAGCTCTGGATTGCCGATGTGACCACAGAATATTGTGTTAACAAATGGCATGAGAAAGTTCAGAATCCGAGACAACAGCTGTAGAGACAAACACAGATTTTTAGTTTGCATACAGTCCATCACTGACACAGTAGTTTAACTTATCATTACAAAGCAAAGCAATTGGAAAGCACAGTTTTGAAAGCATCAGGCACGGGCGAATATGGTGATTTGCCAGTCATCATCATGGGCCAGAAAACCTCGTTGATTCCTAAAAAACATTGTGTTAATGTGTGGTACAAATCACCCTGTTGATCATCTGGGAGAAGAATGTGAGGGGGTGAGAATACTATGGTGTCATGTTGTATGGCCTTTGGTTGTCTCATTGGCCTTTTTTGAAAAGAAAGATCCTTATGTATAGCGATGGCTCACCAATGCACTCATAAATAACACTGCTGTTTGTAATGCTTATGATAAAGTCAATGATTAAAGTTCAATATGGAGTTTAAATGTTTGATAGGAATTATGTTGCAGTGTCGCTTCAGTTCCCCACATCACCATCTGCGTCGCCGGTTTCTCCCATCTCCAAAACTAGAGTATGCATGGGTGAGAGTTGGCATGAAGTACCACACATTAACCTGTTAGGTTTTTCTTTAGAGATTACAAACTTTTAATTAAAAGTGGCGTACACTAATTTTAGGCCACTTTTTGTGCATACACAAGTCATATAAATCGGAGCCCTAGTCATTAATACATATCCCAATCACTAATGTCAGTTTGGGAGCATAACCTAATTCATCACGTTGTGATAAACAGTTGTACTGAAAACAACAATGAGAGCATTGATGTCAGCTGCAAGCTTGAACGATTTTGCTTGTTTTTCTTTTGAAAGGAGCTTGTCTGACTTTGGATTACAATGAAATAATATCCATCTTCAGATGCTAATCCCAGTGCCTTCGCCTTGTATTGTGGGATATATATCGTGGATCTATTACTATAACTGTAAGGTTATGCAAGCATTTTTTTATTTTCTTTAGTTTATTTGTTGAAAAGTTTTGCCAGTGAGCAAAACCTGTGTTCCAAGTTAACACAGCACATTTAACTTCATCTGCACCATGGAATAAAGTAATCAATGAGAGGACATAATCCTGTAGCAGTTGCAGTACTAAATAATAAACTATGCCCTTCATCAACACTTCAACTTTCCCCTACTCACCAGTGGACCTGTGAGACGTAAGACGTGGTAGAGCTCTTCCCTGTAAGCTGGTGGTAACCAACGCTTCACACATGCACACCAGAAGAGTTTAGAGCTTGCCATTGTTGCCCCTTCATCCCCAGAAGGCCCTGCCACCTTGCCAACAGGAGCCCCAGCAACAGGCCCTGCACCCGACCCGGGGTGTGCAGGTTCCAGAGAACCCTGCTCCTCCATTCAAACGCAGGAAGAGAAGACAGGAGGGAGAGAGGAGGGGGGAAAGCTACAAAACAAAAAAGGGAGGGAGGGTGGGAGGGAGTGAAAGTGTAAGGAGGGCAGTCAGCCTATGTGGGTTAAGAAGCATAATATGCGACCGACTTTAAAGTTATTGATATTGTTGTGTTGTTAAGAGGAGAGGCATGCGAATGTTAGCAAAGAGTGAGTTTTTAAAAAAAGCACATGAGGCAGAAAAGCCCTGGATTTCTTTTCCTGGAACCTGTGTGGGGATGTCGGTTCAGTGAGGGCTCATTACAAATGTACAGTTGCACAGACTCATGCCTAAACGACAGGCACACTGGGGGGATTAGTAGACACTGTGGTGGCCCACTACTGACTGAGGTGAAATCAGAGCGATTAAATGTCTCACTGTCTAGGGAAAAGCTTGTATTCAATGGTTTGGACTGTGTACAGCATGATTGAGTAAGCGCTTTTCGTAGAGCATGTTTTGGTTTCTGGGATTGTGTGAATAGTCTCAGTAGTAATCAGTAATAATCTGATGAGGAATGCCTGTTTGCACCGTGGATACCAGAACCTCTGATGGCACAAAGTCTGGACTTTGATTAATTGTAATCACTGATGTTTGTGCATGTGCAAATGCATTAGCCACTGACGTTATCTCACACTGGTTGTACTTTGGCCACTGTTTTTTTTTTCCTCAGTTCGCCCCTCTCGTGTAATATCCATACAAGCAAACACAATCACGTGTGCACACAAAACTGCCATTGTCCAGCTTTGCAACTTAGATAATTAGTCAAAAAAAAGTTTACATGCTACTTCACCTGAAATATGAACAAATAGCCTTGTCAAAGTGACTGGGTTGATTTAATCACTGAAACCTTAAGTAATAAGTGAGTAGTTGATAGTACGTGCCTAAAGAGTAAGAGGGTCAACACAGGAGGCAGGTTATCATTTCAGTAACTTATAGAATGCTAAAGCTGTAGGTTTGTGATTGAAGAAGAAGACCTCTGTGTTTTCTCAGGTTACATTTGTGCATTATAACATGGAGCACTTGCTTCTTTCACCATTACTACTGTTGCAACTGCCGCCAACCTTTGGTCTTTGATTAAACTGAACCCATAAGGATTTCTTTAACAGGGGGTGTGACGATCTGTCAAATTCAGAGCTTGTAATCCATCAGTGACACACAGACTGAAGTTATGCTAGTAGAATAAGCCTTGTTAGAATAACAATAGTTGATCAGTAAACCCAAGATTGAAAACAAGGTCAGATGTTAAAGGCCCTTTAAACTTTTTTAGTTTAAGATTGGAAAGAAGTTAATCTCTGATAGAAAAGTGATGAGAGCATATTAACTTTATGTTATACATGTGCTGCTGTCTGTAATATAAGTCAGGACCAAAACACTTTCTGTATGTTCAACAAATCATTCTCAGGTTTATTGATTACCTCCAGTAGAAACAAAACTGTTCAGCTGGTCAATGCTTCTCTCTAGTGGGGATGAGAGGTAGGGCTGGTGGAAACATGCACATCTTTACGCATATAGAAACATGCGTACAAAAAACATATATAAGATGATGGAATGATTAGCGTTTTAACTGTATTAAATCAAAGAAATATAGCACAGCAAATCAAATGCAGAAAGTTTGATATCATATTATAACCTTTGTACAGATTTACATTTTAGACATTAATATTGTTTGTCCAGAAAGTAATTAACAAGTAGATTTTAGACTTAAATCAAAGATATTCCAAATAATCCTTTAACAAGAACATCACTGAATGAAAATTGACATGTACATTTATAAACTGCACCTAGACTCTTTAAGTTAATATTATGAGCAGTTTACTACTCTGAAATACTGGTCAGGCAGCCAGTTGAAACTATTTGAGGGTTATGATAAGTCACAAAGTGAGGAGTTAAGGTTATATTTTGATACAGTTTCATTTCATCCAGTATGTGTTCGTTCAACCTAAGATATAGATGGATACATAAAAATTAGCCTCTTTAGAGTCTTAATCTTTGCCAAGGAAACTGAAATATTGGTGTACAGCAGCAGGTTTTTAATTGTTCAGCCTGCATTCATACTTGTTTTTTCTCATTTACACTAGTCAAAGTACATATTTTGCCATGTTCATTGTCAAAAGTTAAAGCCATTTTAGGGTAGAGTTTGGGAAATAATAATCCAAACTTGATTATCAAATCCTTTTTTTGTAAATTAGGCAAACTTTAATTACATTTATGACACAATAACAAGATTTTATAGAAAAGGTTTGTATTTGTTGAAATTATGTAGAATAGAACCCTTTTAAACTGCTGATTGACTTCTTCAGTGACTTGATCATCAACACATATGCAGTCATGAATTTTAAAATACATTTTAAAAACTGCCTTTGTCAATCATTACAGTTTTTTAAGTCATTTTTTTTAATGGTTCTTACAAGAACCATCAAAAGTTGTTAAAACAGATATGAAAAGAATCTCGTAAAATGTGCAGTTTCATCTTCACATCCACACCACCCAGTTTTAGTGCCTATAAAAAGTTTGACTGTGTTTGCACATTATGAGAGTGCCACAATAAAAAAGAAAGGAAAAAGTCAAGGATGGGAGGTTTGAAAGGCTGTTGACAGGAACAGGTAAATAAAATTACGACAAAGTCATTGAAAATTAGAGAGAGGCTTTAAAGAGTCCTTGGGGTTAGATAAGAGCTGCTGAAGACTCGGAGCCCTTCACATCCTCACAGTTACACACTGTGAGCTCTGAAAGAAAAACACTGACAAGAAATAAGTGGAAACCCTCAGTAAAAAGGTAAGGGGCTCTTCCTCTACTGAATTACCATGAAGTTTATAATAAGAGTGCATAGTTATTTAATTTAAATTAACACAGAGAACAGTTTCTACTTCATTTAGCCAATGGAGATAGACTGAGCTCAAAGAGTTTGTCTGTATACAACAGAAACTGTCTTTTCCAGTTGTATCTACTCTTTCAGAAGACAGATTTTGAGAAAAAAATATTTATTTCCTATCTTAAACATAATTTTCTGGATACACAATGTTGTAAAAACAAGTGAATGTATTGAAATACTTTTTTTTGCACATAGCTAACACATTTTTGCCACGGTTAAACAGAGATTGGATCCTGCCACGGATAAATGGAAGGCACATATCGCACGACACAGCAAATTGACACAGCACGTGTTCGTCAATATAGTTTTTTTAGAGGTTTTATCATACACATTTTTACACCATATAGATCAGCTGGCGCTGCAAAGTTCAATATCTTGGCTAATAGCACTTCGATTTGTAAAACAGGGAAGCTGCGAGTCAATCCACCATCCTTTAATATATGATTGCCTGTTCTTAGCAGCAGACATACGAAAACATTGTATCTGGATGTGGGGTCTTACATTTCAGTTGTCCGTATGTCAGTCCACCAATCTCTCCACCTTTGTTCTTCATCTGTTATCCCGTTCATGGTCAGCAGGGAAAGGAGGGCACTGTCACTTTTCATCAATTAAAAAGATTAACCCTTTGTGATTACAGGTGTTCTATTTCCAGGTTTATCCAAAGATGGCTGAAACAACGTTGATGTCCATAGCCCCTCTTTTTCTTTTCCTCCTGTGCTGTGCCACCCAGACACTGGGTAAGCTTTTCTGGTCTATGTGGTATAAATTGATGATAACATGTTTTCCCTCAGTTTCTCTGCATTGCCTTAACTTCAGTCCTTGACTATTTATACATCCTTCTTTATGTCCACCAAAGGTATCACAATCCATTCCTTCCCAAATGGCGATGTTAATGGCATCATTGAAGCAGAATATCAGAAGACTGTATCCCTGGTGTGTGAAGTTGGTGACATGGCATCTGATGAAGAACTGGTGTGGCTGAGGAATGGAGCTGTGGTGAAACTGCTTGATGAAAACAAGAAAGGCCGCAGCAGTGTGTGTGTCACACCTCTCGTCTATGAAGATAATGATGCTGTGTTCACATGTCACCTGAAAACAAATGATTCAGACAAAGCTTCTGTCACCCTGAATGTCACATGTAAGTTTATGATAATAGAAATAAACCAAAGTGAGCAACATTTCCATGTCAAAACCATAAATGTTCATGTCATTGGTTCAATAGTTGTGATTTTTCTTCTGCAAATTAAATTTGTGCATCTACCTGAGTTTAAAAAGAGGCACATTTAATTACATTAACATCTTTGTTCTCTTGTCCTGTGAAGATCCCCCACAGCTCTCCATGTCAGAGGAGGTACAACTTGAATTGGATTCTTTGCTAGTCCTGCAGTGTGACATGAGGGCCAATCCACCTGTCTCATCCATTGTGTGGAAACTAAATGGAAGCATAGTGGATCTATTAGAGGGTGGCTTCACCGTGACCAATGATGGCTTGATAAGCCAGCTTCAGGTCAAAAATGTCAAGAGACACTTACATGAAGCCACATATCAATGTACAGCAGTCTCTCCCATGTACGGACAGCAAACCCAGACTTTCCATGTGACAGTGACAGGTGACTTCATATTTTCATCTCTATTCATTCTTTCTGAAACCACATTTCTGTCAGCGGAGCTGATCATCTTCCTCCTCATTTTTAGAAAAGACCGTGAAGTTCCCAGTGATGCCCATCATAGCAGGGGTGGTGGTTGTGTGTGCCACTTCACTCCTCGCCATAGTGTCACGCTGGAGCAAAATTACAAAGGTAGCACACAAAACATACATTCACACAGAATAAAATGACAATTTTTCAAATCCATATTAACATGCTTTTCTTCCCTTTTAACAGTGCTTCAAGTAAGGGTTCAGATATAACCCTCTGCACTTCACCAACTGAGAGAAGCTATGAGGACATCACCATTTTCTCTTTGGAGACTATGATTGCCTATTTATGGGAATATCATATATCATTAACATATGACTTGTGTTTAAAGCAATTCTTTAGCATTGCCAGTGGACGAATGCCATACGTATGTCTGTCTGTGGAATATTAAGCTACAGCCTATTGTTATTAGCACAATTTAGCACAGAGAATGGGGCTTTCCACATTTGTGCCTCAAAGATAATCCCTGTCAACATATAAAAAAAGAGATTACCAGAGCTTCTGTCGGGTCATTTTGTGAAGCTTGAAAAAATTTGGGCCTGATGTGCCATCAGGTTTCTGCTCTCCTCTTTTGTGATTAATCTTCGTCCCTGCTGTCAAAGGCTTCAGATTTTCTGCAAAGTCATAATAGAGAACTAAATCAGTATGTACATCAAGCACAATAGACCTTTAAATCTGACAGAAATGTGTGTAAATTGTGTGTAAATTCTACTATTTATTTGACCATTCAGAGTGACATTAAAGAAGAGTGTATTGTACTTTATGTGAAAAGTTTATTAACCAATGAGAACTAAAACATAAGCGGCTATAAAAACAAAAAAACTAGAGAAAGAAATGTTAATATGTGATTTAGCTTCAATTTACATTCTACTTTATTACTTTTGGCTGATACTTTGTTATTGGATGGTAACAAAGTCAGTGTCAAATGTTGAAACTGACTTTGGAATTTGTGGAGGACATGTGGGTTATATTATACATTATACACCTTAATGGGATACTGGGTTGAATCTTAAGTGTCCAAAGGTATATTTTAAAATGCATCTAAAAATAAAGCAGACTGGCATATTCTCCTCCTGAGTGCATTATCAAGAATTTTATTTTAATAATTAATTCATAAAATTATTTAAAAGTTTTACTTTTCAGGGCATTAGAAAAAATATAGCTCTTTAAATTAGTAATATACCTCCTCAGGAGAATAAATAACACTACATCCTGATCTAATGTTTTAAAAAGTGGAAAAACAACGAAACTCCACTTCCAGTGTAGTCTGAAAGTTTCAGATTAATTGCAAATGAAATGTGCTGATTCAACAGTTATTTGAGGAATAAAGGTGAAAAGAAAATTACTTTATTCACTTAACAATATAACATGCATTTATCCATTTTCTCTATACACCAAAAATAATTAAAGATTGCGATGGCTGGACTCTATCCCAGCTGTCACTGGGCCAGAGGCAGTTCACACCCTGGACAGGTCATCAAACATGTTATTTTTAGAAGATATTGAAGATTTGGATTTACAAGCTTTACCAAACAACACTGGGGGAAAGGTGACATAAAATGAATAATGAGGATCTAATGTCAGATGAAAATGAAGGGGAAGTTTTCACAGGTGTGTCTTTCAAACAGTTAAGTCATTGGAATAAATGTTTATGTTCTATGAATCATCATCATCTGTGAATTTTTTTGTCATTGGGCTTCTATGCGAGGATTGAACTTCGGACCCTCACCCAAAGTTACAGTAAATAGTTGTTAAAATGATGTTATACATTTACACTTTATGTGTCAAAAGGACAAGGACTATGATGTGCTGAGGGTCAAGGTCGAGGTCTTTGTGCTCTTCTCAATAAAGAATTACTCAACAAGTTCACATAAAACAGAACACATGGAACAAGGATAACTAGCTTGCACACCTTTGATCTCAGTTTTAACCAGTACAATAAAAAAAAACTATTTAAAAAAACACATTGCCTTGATACTTTCCAGTCTTCGACTATTTGAACAATGACGTTTTTATCAGGTTTGATGGATGTAAAAATTCTGATAAATCTCTATTTTTGTATTTTCAGAAGGGATCGAAAGCTCAAAGGCATTACATTTAAAAATATAGATATCTTTTTCATTGTGGGAAAAAAGAAGGTGATCGATGGTCTGCTGATTTCATCCCATCACATAGTTTATGGTTATGTTTCTGCATTTAGCAGATGCTTTTATCCAAAACTACTCTCAATGCAGACACAACATCACGTTAACATCCACCTAGAAATAAGCTATATAGAAGGAAATCAGAGTCTGTGAGAGGCAACAGGGGTGATGTTGTAGCAAGAGGGAAGTACAGAAAGAGTAATAGAGGGAGGTAAGGGGTAAGAGTTAGAGTAAGAGATTCTATGCAAAGAGCTGGGTCTTCAAGAGGTTCTTGAAGATACACAGGTACCCCATGTTCTTGTGGTGTTTGGTAGGTCACAACACACGAAAAGAGTCTGGATTGTCTTGTGTAGGAACTGGTAGACGACAATCCATTGATGGCCGGAGTGACATAAGCCTTTGCTACAGGATTCAAAGTGTGAAAGACATATTAGTGTTGTGTGCTGTTGAGAACCATTTTACTGTGTAAAAGATTTTTCAAGCAACACATTTGAGGAATGTGTCTATGCTTTCATGCACTGCCAGCTTTATGTCTGCCATGGAGAAAAACTGAGAATGACTCATTTGTGCCTTCTTCAGACTAAAATGGAAAAAACTATCAAGGTCAAAAATCTTCAAGAAATGGTGCTTGTAGCATTTCACTTATGGACCTGCAGTGACATCTGCTGGTCACATTCCACAGAACGTTCACGTGAGAATGTTAAAACAGACATACAAAATGAGATGCTGATGCAAGATAATGACAAAACATCAGGTGTGTGGCAACTGATGAATGAGGAATATGTGCTTGCTCCTGTTATGTTGCTTTCAAAGACAATCAAACTGAGAGGGTTGGCAGAGAATTGTGCCCTTTTCAAAGAGTTACAATATTCGATTAAAATGGTCATAAAAAAAATATTTGTACATATATTTCACATCCCATATTATTGTAACAATCATTACCACTGAGAAATTAATCGCCACGAAATTCAAGTACTTCTCCATGCAAAATGTCTTGACCAAAATAAAAAATGTCCTGTGGATTCGTTAGGTGGAACTTTAAAATGCAACAGTGTTGTTTATTCAGTTCTTAAGGTTTCTCAGTTCAATCCGTTTTTTCAATTACCAAAGTAAACCTCCCATTCAGTGAAGTTCAAAATGCCAATCACAATCTGATTTATCTCTGAATCAAATATAAAATGTATAAGTCTTAAATATTGACTCGGTTTTTGCGTCAACATTTATATACATTAAATAACTTAATGATTTAATAATTCAAACGTCATTTTTACTTTTTTTAACTATCTATTTTAAACTAATTGGAATTTCTTTTGATAGCCTAGTTTGTTTATTTATGAAAAAAAGTTGTTCGAACTTGAACGGTTATTGGGCCCCTAGATCAATTGAGGTTCTAATCATATTAATATATTGAAGTTGCTATTTTTCTTCTTTTTAATTTCATTGTGATTTAAACGCGGACCAATGCAACGTATTACGTCATTGTCTCTGCGTAAAATGCGTGGTGACGCAGGCAGCTCTGTCCACCGCCACCAAATTCAAACTGCGAGAGAAAAAGGAACAGCCGGGCCAAGAGAGACAGAGCAACTTTCCCAAAGTGTAACTTTTGAGGTATGCTAGCAGCACAAAGGATGATTAGTTAGTCAATCTCAATTTATATTTTTTATCTATTGAACGTTGACGTATTCTAGAGCAAACTCAATTGTTAACGTTCGCAAACTAACGGTGCTTTCACGGACACTGCATGTTTTGTTTTGTTATCTCTGTTTGTTTTGAGGGTGACAAAACATATATGGGGGTGGTAATGCCTGAAGCCATTTGAAGGGTGTGAAATGTTGTCAGCGTAAGTTTGTGATGATAGTGATGGAGTTAGATTATTTATTCCTTTCCCATGCGGCAATTTGGATAGAGCCTGGCTCAGCTGAACAGGGCAGGGCAGCCTGTAAAGCGACATTGTCCTGAACAAAGAAAGGCCACCGAGTCCCGTTGCTTGATTGTCGACTTTGTTATGGGTCATTCTCACTTCATTTCCTGTCCTTAGTTTGTTCACTTCTTTAACTTTTTTTTTAACAGTAATTGTCCCCTCCTTAAGATTTGAAAACATGACTCACTTAAATGTAGAGAAGGTTGTGAATTGCTTAACTTTAACTTTATTTGGGGAGTTGTTTTATGCAGCTGGTTCCATTTGACATTCAGAACAAAATGGAAACTGGTGGCTTCAGCTCTGTTAACAGAAAAGTCATCTGCACTCATTTATTTTCAGTTGTAATTGGTTATTATTCATTTTAGTTTTTATTAATTTTCATTTCTTCTGTTGTGTATGATAAAGTGTTGGTCATAAAGATGTTTTGCTAATGTAGTCCATTTTCTTCTTCTTGTTTAATCTTTGTTCAGCTTAATACGATGTCTTCAGTGATGGATGGGGTTGGTAAAGCTGTGGTTGGAGTCTGGCGGGCCCACACAGCCCTGGATGAGTCCGATGATGCAGAAAGCTCCCCGGATGCCCCCGACCGCTTCCGCAAGATGCGCTCCTCATCTTCGCTCAACTCTCTGCGGATGTCTCTGCGCAAGCGGCTCCCTCTGCGGTCTGTCCAGGCCACCTCCCTCCCAGAGCATCCAACATGGGAGACAGTGAAAGAGCAGCCTAAACCCAATGCAGTCCGCAAACTCACTCGCAGTGCCCGTAACACCATTGGTGGAATGTACCAGGTGGATGAACTTAAACAAGCCTGTTTTTGTGTTTGCTTCTTTTTGGGTTCATGTCTCTGTTGTCATTCTCATCACCTTCCTCCTCCTTTCCTCTTTCTCACAGAAGTTTCAGAGGAGTAGAGAGTTTTCACGAGAGGATTGCTTGGTCGCAACCCCTGGCCGTGATGGAGAAAGCGCTTGTCCATCAGCTTCTTGCACCCCCAGAAACACCCCTGTCCGAGCAGCGACACCCAGGCGCACCCCCAGGTCTGCAGCCACGCCCGGACGCGCCCCAGCTTCTAGAGGCCGGAGGACTCCCGAGGCATCGGTGCATGGGGTGAGAACAGGAGGTGGCAGGAGACAGCTGGTGCGGATGGCAGCATTACGAAGTCCCTTTGCTTCCCCCAACACACAGAACCAAAGAATGTAAGTTTCCAAACCAGCTGCATTCAATCTTTAAACATTATTTTCTGTTATTGTTTCTGTTACAAGGTCCTTGAGTCTTTCTGATTTTTGGCTGCTTTACTTCTTTATCTCGCTCTAATTTTTTATTTATTTTTTGCTATGATAGGAAATTTGACCAAGATTTGGAGTCGGTATCCAGTGGACTCCGAAGGCTCAAACGCCTGTCCAAAGCCTTTGACGACATCATCGGCAGAGAAAACAGGTAAACAGACTCTTTTATACCCTCTGTTCAAAGTTATCTTAATTCAATCTTTTGTTTCCTTTTTTCTCTGTATTATTACATGCTTAGCTAACCAACAATGAATGCCTTATTAAAAGGCAGCATTGTTAATAAAATAGAGGATGAGTATAATGTGTATTTGAGGAAGCCATATCTTCCCTGCACAGAGACTTAGAAACATGTGACTCCCTTCCTCCCTCCCAAAGAATCTCAGAGTGCACAGCAGCTTGTGGGTCCCTAAGCTCCCTCCCCCTGGACATTCTTCCCGCCTTCGTTTGACCCGGGTCTGTGTTTCTGGTATTCAGATAAGGAGGGAGTGAGTGGGGACCAAGTAGGGGTGTGGAACCGGAGCCAGATGAAATAATATAAATGGGCTTTTGAGAAACTAGTGGATGTCTTTTGCATCACTTCCTGTGTTGACATTCAAAATGTTAGGAGTGAACAGCAGAGTCCCACATGAGCAGTGGCCTTGAGCGTTTTCTGCTTACATTACATGCTGTTTCAAACGATCTCCTTTTTTTGGGTTAAATAAGTTTTTTTTCTCAACAGGCAATTCAACTATTCCCTTTTTGTGGAATAGGGCAGAAGGTAAATTGATACCATAAAAATAATCCCTCTGAAATCTGAATAGTCACCTTGATATTTTAACCATTTTAACTTTACGGCATGTAAGTGCATGAGAGAACAAAACTGGCAACTGTATATGGGCTGCTTTGCTCACTAAGCTCATGTTTGACATCTAAGGAAAAAGCCACTAGTCCAAGCAAAGGATGTTCCTTTTTCTGTCCAACTCACATTTCTTTCTGACTTTTCTACCCTAAAATACTCTATTCTTCCTACATGCTGTGATTTCTGCAAATCTCAGAAATGCCTTAAAAACCTGACACCATTGAACAGAAATTAAACCATGACTTGACTTTGAGTCGAAATCCAGTATTTCATGCAGTTGAAGACGGACAGTCATCGGAGAGCATTTTAAGTCTTACAAATGTATGAAACAAATGAAAGCAACAAGGGATATTTCTAGGAGAAAGTTGCCCTTTCCCTGGAGAGAGTACAGTGTGTGTTTGTGTGTGTGTATATGTATGTATATATACATACACATAAAGTATTACAATTTAAATAGTTGAATTTAGGTCATCAATGACTGAATCTTGTCAATTTGCTTGTAGCCCAAGTTTCCTCTGCTTATTTTGACTTCACCACAGCTCTTTTCTGGTTAGTCATCGGCAGCGGGAGGCACTTTGAACACTCCCTTTGTTCTCTTTTTGCAGACCCGGTTCAAGGGAGCGCTCCGGAGGAGTGGTGTTGAGAAGGTTGGACCCCCGCGGTAAACTCAGCTGCTCAAATCTCACGCATCGAGCCTCTCGCATGTCGGACACACTGGGAGACTGGGCCCAAACAGCTGTGAACACTATTCGCAAACCCAACTGAACTTGTGTGTGTTTGTGTGTCAAAAACCGGACCTTTTGTAGCCACGTCTTACATGTATCATTGTGGTGTCACTGTTACATATATATGTGGGTTTCATACAGGGAGATTAGTTTGGCAGCTTGTCGTCTTTTTTTATCTAAATATTTTATCCCTGCTGTGTATAATTGACAGCATTTGTGTGAATCTGGTTTGTTTACATGTCTTTGGTTGGTTACATGTAGCTTTGCTATCTTCATTGTAGCTACCAAAGGGATTCTTCTTCCTGATATATGTGTTTTTCTTAGCTGCTACAACTAGATGTCTGTTACATAAAAAAGTACTAATATTTTATAAAGTTCTCACAGAGTTTCTGACATTAACCTTAAACTTAAGCTGCATGACACCAAAATTATAGCTGCATAACTAACACTAAATGTACGGACATGGGAGATATATTGTCTTCTGTTTTGTATGTATGCAACAATTTAACTAACATTTGTACTGTATTTTTGTAAAGGGACATTTGATTAAACCAAATCCTTTGTTATATATTTTTTATGACGAGGGAATTTTATTTGAACACAGCTGAGGCTGTTTTTAAATGGAAAACATACTTTCAGGCAGGGGTTAGAGCCTGCAGTGGTCTGTGGATTATTCACACTCTGATACTGTACACATAAATCATCTGATAATGTGATGGGGAAGGAGTTAATGGCTCATTACCAGATGGCGGCAATGATGATTATGTTATTAAGTAAAATGGAGCAAGTTATTCGTGTAGGGGACAGCCAAGCCAACAGCCCCAAATGATTGAAAACACTTCCGATTTTTTTTTCTCTACACTTCCTTTTACGGTATTAATGAAAAAAGGGAGAAATGTTGTATGTGGGAGAACATCTACACAATAAATCTGTAAACTTCAATAACAATGAATGCGTTTGTTTCATTCTAGCTGTAACACAAACTTCCTATTATTCGTATAAAATAATTCAGAATCAGCAGATTCAAAAAGTAACAACTTCCAACACTAACCTAATTGTCCCTCCTTTTTTTCCAAGTTTATGAACAGTAACATTTTTGTGAATTATAATGAATGCATTATAGTTTCCTTAAAATGACACCATGATTCATAACCTAAATCCTCATCAATGTAATCCCAGCAAAATCTGATCTAATGCACGAAAAAACAACAGCTCCATCCTACATTGGTCTTCACTAATCCTGATTGTGGAAATTGTGCTTTTCATTTCTAAATAAGATTTGAATAATAACAGATGTTAATCTCTTAGCCCAGCTAAAGAATCTTTAAGATTTTTAAAAGATGCTGGTGTGTGAAGGTATCAAATACAAACAGATAGAAATACTCATAGTTGCACTTATTAAATGAAAGACTCAGTGGAAATGCTTTAAACATAACCATGATAAACAAATATCAATTCTACAGGAAGATAGAAAATATCTATTTGTAAATAATAGTAATCTCTTTAAAGAAAACTCTCAATAATGAATTAAGATCTAGTCTATATATCCTTCTTTTTTGTTATACCGTATGTTGTCACATAGTTGAAGCTATCATTCAAAGTAGGAGGAGAGTTAAGTGAGTTTTAGGAGAGCAAATATTCATTATTGTATTCCCAGATAAGGTTGTTGGAAAATTGCAGGTTTTACAGTTATGCGGAGAAGTCCCAATCCTCTGAAAAAGTACGGACAACACCGCCCTCTTGTGGTACATCATTGTGTTAGCAAGTTCGAGCAAGACCTGCTCGGTTTGTCCCTTGTTGTTACCCGTCTGTAGCTCATGCGTCGTTGAAGTTGCTCCACCTCTGTCTCTCCGGCTTTGTACCCAGAGCTGAACCCACGCCGCAGCTAGCATCTCCAGCGTACAGGGGCTGCCAAACATCGGAAAATGGCCCTTCACGTTCCTAAAGCTCCGGGCTTTGCCCAAATGTTAAAGGATGGCGCAAAGGTGAGGTTGAATTAGCACATTGCGCTAATAAGGCAGCTTTGAGTCAGTAGTTGTAAACTGCCGTGCCAGCTCCTGTTAGCCAGTGAGTTAGCATGTTCATTCACAGTCATGTGGGAGAGTTCTAGAAGGAAGACCGGGCCGCCGGAAACTTAGAGGTGCGCAGCTCGACCGCTGGAGTGTAGTATTTGTTATTTAGGTCCCCCTATCACTTCAGTACAGAACCCCCTTACACACAGACGGAGTTGTTGCTGTTGTTAGCAGCAGTCGGGCTGCAGTCACACCCAGTTAGCGTTCAGCTAACTTCCAGCACCGAGCACCGGATAGCCGCCTCAGATGCGTCTGACTGATGCTTCCTGTTCTGGGTCATCTTACATGTTTAGACACACGAGTATTTATAGATAGTGTTGTTTTTGTCAATAGTTTGTCAGATAATTTGTCTATCACGGCTTCCATTTCCAACCTATTATTGATACAGAAACCTGTTGTAGATGTGCACACACACAGACACGCACATATATATATATATATATATTTGTGTGTGTGTGTTCTGTAAAATAACTACTTAATTATCTGTTGCAGCACTTCTCAGGACTTGAGGAAGCTGTTTTTCGTAACATCAGAGCATGTAAAGAGCTTTCTCAGACCACTCGCACCGCCTATGGGCCCAATGGTATGCACTTTCCCCCCAGCTGAAACATATAAATCTGTATTAAAAAAAAATTCTCCCATGCTTTGACTAATTCACTTAAACTTGAAGGCAACAACCCAGTATAAAATAATCAGCGGGACTGTTGATCCTCAGGTATGAACAAAATGGTCATCAATCACCTGGAGAAGCTGTTTGTCACCAATGACGCAGCAACAATCCTCAGAGAACTTGAGGTGAGGAAATATTCCCCTGTAGTTTCCAGAAACTAGCAACATTTTTCTCAATCATTGGAGTTTATTGGTTTTGTTTCAATGCCTGTGTTTCACAGGTCCAACATCCAGCAGCCAAAATGATCGTGATGGCGTCCCACATGCAAGAGCAGGAGGTCGGAGACGGTACTAACTTTGTGCTGGTGTTCGCTGGGGCTCTGCTGGAGCTGGCTGAAGAGCTGCTCAGGATGGGCTTGTCTGTGTCAGAGGTAAACCCCAGTAGTGGTTGAATATTGTTTGTTTGTTTTTTGGGGGGGCTAGAAATTACCACATGACGGGGCGCTGTTTCCCTGGAAGGTTACATTTGAAGAAATGGCTAACACTGAAGGGTCGCAATCCTGAAAGGAAGCACAATGGAAAGGATGAAGCTAAATCTTGTGTGGTAAAGCCGTAGTGAAAGAGTCTCCTTTACTCTTTGCTACAGGTGATTGAAGGCTATGAGAAAGCCTGCAAGAAGACTCTGGAAATTCTGCCAGACTGCGTATGCTCCTCTGCCAAAAACCTCCATGACATAAATGAGGCCACGTCTCTCATCCGCACTGCAGTCATGAGCAAACAGTATGGCAACGAAGATTTCCTCGCCAACCTCATTGCACAGGCCTGTGGTGAGTCCAAACAGCAGCTGCCAGCCACCCAGAGAGTTCTGCCTTTAAAGTTGTAACTTTGCCTCATGTTCCCGTCTTGTGCCTTCTGTTGTTGTTTTTAATTGTTGTTTTTTTTTTTTTCGTAGTATCCATCTTCCAAGAGTCAGGCAATTTCAATGTCGATAGCGTCAGAGTATGCAAGATTTTGGTAAGCACCACTTCCTGTTTGATGCATTTTGGTTGTGTTTGTCCGTTGTTTGCCTCTAAGGACGCCTTTCTGTTTCAGGGTTGTGGAGTGACGGCCTCCACCGTGCTTCACGGCATGGTTTTTAAGAAGGAGGCGGAGGGAGACATCACATCCGTTAAAGATGCCAAGATTGCAGTGTTCTCCTGCCCCTTCGACTGCACGGTGACGGAGACCAAGGTAATGTTTTTTAATGGTCCAGGAGACGCCAAGCAGCCAGAGGAATCCACACGAGGGTACTGAACGCCAGTGCGTCTGTTCCACAGGGCACAGTGATGATAAACAATGCACAGGAACTCATGAACTTCAGCAAAGGCGAGGAGGACCTGATGGAGGTTCAGGTGAAGGCCATCAGGGAATCCGGTGCGAACCTGGTGGTGACTGGTGGCAAAGTGGCCGACATGGCGCTCCACTATGCTAACAAGCACAAGCTGATGGTGGTGAGGTGAGAGCCACAGAGGAACTCTGTCATACGAGGCTGCCGGCCCGTTTGTGGCACTGAACCTGTTATTGTAGCAACTTTTTAAAACACTGATCCCCCTCTCCCTTCAGGCTGAACAGCAAATGGGACCTTCGGAGGTTGTGCAAGACCGTGGGAGCTGTCGCCCTGCCCAGGATGGTGAGTGAAGCCACAGCCCCTCAGATCAGGTGTTGGAATTAGGATTTGCAAAGAAAAAGCCCGTATGACATTCTGCCTTCTCAGACGGCTCCAACTCCAGAGGAGATGGGTCACTGTGACAACGTGTACCTGACCGAGGTGGGGGACACCCAGGTGGTGGTCTTCAAGCACGGTACATCTCTCTCCCTGCCTCATTTTTGCTCCCCGGCTGATCGGATCCCTACACATGAGAGGCATGAGGAAATATCTGGTGTGTTTTAAACAGAGAAAGAAGACGGTGTCATCTCGACGGTGGTGATCAGAGGCTCCACTGACAACCTGATGGACGACATTGAGAGGGCTGTAGATGATGGAGTCAACACTTTCAAGGTTCTAGTCAGGGTAAGTCAGCGTTAAACAGAAAAATGTTGTTTTTCCCCCCGTTTTGTTCCGTGCAGCAGCTACAGTTTGTGTCATTCACCCTCAAGGACAAACGGCTGGTACCTGGAGCGGGAGCCACCGAGATTGAGCTGGCCAAACAGATCACCTCATATGGAGAGGTGTGTAGATTGGAGTGCCGTGGTTTTTTGCTTACTTTATCTAAACCGAGGAGGTGCAGAAGCTCTAATCCTTCCCATCTCTGCAGTCCTGCCCCGGGCTGGAGCAGTATGCCATTAAAAAGTTCGCCGACGCCTTCGAGGCATTGCCTCGCGCTCTGGCTGAGAACTCTGGTGTGAAGGGCAGCGAGCTCATCTCTAAGCTGTACTCTGCGCATCATGAGGGAAAGAAAAACATCGGCTTTGACATTGAGGCAAGTAAATGTGTTGTGTGATAGATTTCAGAAAACAATATCGTAACTTTGATATGCATGAATTCTGTTAGTTTTTTTCTTAAAATTGTAGTTTAAAGTGTTTGTTGTTGTTTTGGTTTACTAAATTGTGTTAAAGAATGTTGATAAACCTTAGATTATCTGAAATAATCATCCAGGTTATTCGCCTCTGGGGAAACTTGAGTATTCCAGCCATGGAATTTCAACCAAAACAATAAGTAACCAAATGGACTCTGTGTAACTGAATACGGTGTCACAGCTTAGTACAATAACTACAAGTACCCGCTTCAGGACAGAGAAACAGTTCAGAGGGGCAGGAGGCGTGTGACTCATGCAAAGTGCAGCTTGTAAAGCGTTTTCGGGCTACCTCTGTTTTCTAACTCAAACAACCAAATCAACCCTCTGTCATTATTCAGTGTGTGTGATCCCATGTTCTTTGCTCTGTTTGCTGTAGGGAGACGGGCCGGCCGTGAAGGACATGCTGGAGGCTGGCATTGTGGAGCCGTACCTGGTCAAACACTGGGGCATCAAACTGGCCACCAATGCTGCCATCACAGTGCTGAGGGTGGATCAGGTGGGCTCAGACACACTCGTGACACGGGAGGCAAACTGGGGACGTTTCTGTGTGTTTTAAAGGTTCCCTGACAGGTCACAAGCGGTGGATCCACACAGTTAACGTGTGTATATACATGTGCAATCCAGATCATCATGGCTAAGGCTGCAGGGGGACCCAAGGCTCCCAAGCAGAGAGGCCACTGGGACAAGGATGGTTGGGACGAAGAGCCCGATCATTTTGAAACTCACCATTAGAGGGCACACACACACAAACCCTCTCGTCAGTAGGTCCCGAAACGTGTGTGGAGTTTTAACCCAGAGCAGTGCCGATGCACCCGCTCACTCACTCACAGGACACTGAAGTTTGGCCCGTCACTACTAACTGAACTGAGCGCAGAGAAGCTGCGGCTTGAGGCGCAGTCTAACAACACGATGCGTGTCGCCGTGTGAGAGAGCACCAAACGTCATGCTGTGTGTCGGCATGCTGCATGCACTCATCTGTTTTACCTCACAGCTGACATCCAGCCCCAGCAGCACGCCGGCATGGGTTTTTGTGTGGATAACGTGCCTTAAACACCCGACACAAACCACTGAAATCAGTCACATGAATACTTATTCCATCTTAACTTTATTACTGTTAAATGTTTAAAAATGCATGACTACCTTTTTAATAGTAAAGAACTGGACAGATACTGAAGGATTTCTTTTGGTCCAAATGGGAGCCAGTTTTCCTTCAAATGACTGGTTTGGTGCATTTTCCTTTAAATATGACAATTGTTCATTTATTAAGTTATCTGACAAAGACCATTTCATAGTGTATTCACAATGTAGTCCAGAAGTAAAGATAGTAGAAAAGCATTTAGATGAGTTGATTTAAGCAGTCTTCCCTTTTTTTCTGCGTCTTCCATTTTCAGTAAAGTCCACCTGCGGAGAAATTTTCTTTGAAGACATTTTCCATCTAATGCCATATATAGTCATATAAATATAATATATTGATAGCTAGCCTAATATAATATATTGATTAATATAATATAATATCTTGATAAATCCTGGTTTTGAAGCTTGATAACATTACTAGCCTAATACACCCAGTGAACCCTCTGGCTAAGTCCTTGTCACCACTAACTGGATGGAGGGGTTCCGTGTTTGTGTTTCAGATGTATTATTTAAGTGTTCCCAAGTTGTGCTGCACACATTTTCCTTTTTATTTTTAGCATAAACATAACCACACGCTCTCATGAAATTTTAACTACTGTAAATGGATTTCACTGGTATATGTAAGGATTGAAAAACACTTTGTTTTAGCTAATTAAATGTAAATGTTTTTAAAGTGATGATTTAAAAGCTGCATTTCGGGTTTTCCTGCAAATATCTCGTCAGCTGCATGAGTTCCGCTGCTCTTTTTCTTTTCTTTTTTTCTAAAAAAGGACTTCTCCCTTTTTTCTCCTTTCAGATCATCATGGCCAGACCAGCAGGAGGACCCAAACCTCCTCAGGGTCAGAAGGACTTTGACGATGACGACTGAACCTGATGCTCAACAACCAACGCTTCTTAAATCCTGAAAGCACCCAAATGGGCTCACAAACTTTTTGTACTTGTTTATTTAAATCCCATCTGTTTGGTTTATTTAGTAGAAATGACTAGACATTAGTCAACAAAGCAACGTAAAGGTAAAAATTTCAGATGGCTCTGTTTGCTTTTTATGTTCTAAGTCCCAAATAAAAGGCACTTGCGCTGTCCTGTTGTGGTTTGTGCTTGTTTCTTAATCTTGAATTGGTTATTTACAGGTCCCAGTGTTCCGTCGGTCTGTTAACATGAAACATCAAGCAGTTTGTATGTCATCACGCCATGAAGTACAAGGAATTTCTCAAAGCTGCATGACCACGTTTGGGGGCATCCTAGGAATTACTGATTTAGATATTATTTTCAATTATACAGCAGTTGTAGGATATATTGAGAGTTGTACTGGTTAGTGAACATGTTCAGATGGCTGGATCCCATTCCCACAGAGTGGATGCCTGCTGGTTGGGCCGCACTAAGCAGCAGGGGGAGCTCAACTCCACCAAGTTGGCTTGTGGGCGGATTTTCGCTGACGTTGCCCATACTCGGGATTAACTTGTTTTTTGTGTGTGTGTGTTTTGATGTCGCCATATCTTATCACATTTTGCATCGTAGCAGCTGGCCGCGCGCTGATCGCTGGTGAGCATCTCCGGGCTTCCTTCGGGGCCTTTGCTGGTAAAGTTTGGCTGGACGGTGAGGCTGATGCCCCCCTCAGCTGCGTGAGCGCCTGGATGAGAAGCACACGTCGCACCGAGGCGGCAATCCTGATGTCCCGTCGGTCTCAAAATGGGGGCCGACGGCAGTAAAAACAGGACGGTGAGTTTCGAAGCAATTCCCTGTTGCTAAGGTGACACGCACGCACTGGAGGAGGGGGTTCCCTGTTTCCATGGCGATGGTGTGTGGTCCAGGGTTAACGGCGGTTACTACGCAGCAGAGTTTGGGATATTAAAGCAGCACGTTACTCCAGAGTCCGCATCATTGGATAGTAATCAGAAACATAACTGCTTACTGTTAAACGTTGTCAATAAAAGAGTGACATTTCACAAACTGCGATGTAAACGGTTTTACTTTGAAGACCAAAATAATGCTTTCCACATTCCATCTGAGTAAGCATGTTATTAATCGAGCGTCAGGTGAGGGATCCACTGAAGGCATGCGATACTGCTGAGGAACCATCAGGTTTCCTAATTTGGCTCCGGTGATGAGGACATCCTGCACGGCTGATTGCACCCATCTTCCATCACAGAGCTGTCGTGTAGCACGAAGCCCAGAGGGACAGGGCTTGTGTAACCATGTGACTGCAGACTGGACGTGAAATATAGGGTTTATCTGTTGTTGGATTAGAGATGAGAGAGACGCAATGGCTAGGTGAAAAATAATCCCTTAGTGGAGCTTTTCATGAAAGCGGCCACATAGATGGAGTATGGATAAAATTACTATCTATGTAAAGTTTAGACAATGAATATTTCTTCAATTGTATGCAACTATTGGACATAAAATTGCATGTGATTAAGCCAGTTGTGGGGTTTTTTCAGTACATTTACAATTTACCCTTTAAAAGGTTCTCACAGGATCCAATGTGACCAAGCTTTCCACTGACGTCCTGAAGGTGTTGAAGGTGTAGATCACAGTACCAACAAAATGGGCTGGTGAAGAGGCAGCAGAAGCTTTAGGTGTGGATAACTCAGCAAACTTGAGTAACAAATGTTTAATTTTATTTGTAGTGACAATAAAAGATTCCAGTGGAATTGTTCAACTTAAAAATAAACCATGGAAAATAACCCCAATGGCTGAGCTCAGTACAGAAAAGTCACGGAACAAAAAGTATTTAAAAGTAGTGGAAAATGTCATTCTTTGAATACAGTGTACTGTACTTATTTGATTTTAAATTGATTTGACTATATCTATCTATTTATCCAATTCATTCAAACTTGCTAAGCTACATAGGTAACTCATTTACTAGAGAAATTCATGTTGACCACCTCTAAGCACTTCATTTGTGGCCATAACACAAACCTAAAATAAGTTTGTACCCTAAACAAGAAACAGGAGTTTTAGGTTTACCTTCTGTCAACAATGGAGACTCTTTTTGACCTTCTCTAAATTTACAACACATGGTTAATATTGGCCAAGTTTAACTGAGCACATCTGCAAATTTTGCATTTACAATGTGAAGGCCTTCCACCAATGCAGCCATTTTTGATTTTTTATGCAACATCAGTTGCATAAAAAATGGCTGAAGTAGCAATTACAAATGTGTTTCGTAACTGACTGAGTCTAACACTCCCTCCTGAACCTCTGCAGCAGCCTTCTGAAGGGCAGGAGGATGAGCGCATCACATCTGGATGGCGTGGCTTCCTCTCCAGCGTGGGCTTGTCTATCCCGGCGGGCCTCTGTCGCTTGGCCCCCCCTGTCCTGCGTCTGGGCCAGCGTCGAATGCTCCAAAGCAAAGCCCCCGAGGTTCCGGAGCACGTCCTGAGGCTGGCAGGGGTCGGGCCGGGCAGGCTGAGAGCGGAGTGGAGCCTTCCAGGATTTGTTTCCATGTTCCTGCCCGAATTCCCCCACAGACCTGTGCCTGGGCACGAGCACTTCCAGGTGGTTTTACCTCCGTTCCAGCAACACCGAGTCCATGTCAGCCGTTTTCTCTCCGTCTTAATAATTCATTTGTCATTATTTGCCTCACTAGGTCCTGGGTTACATTGCCAAAGGCTCTTTCGGGCCTATCCTGAAAGTCAAGGACAAGGCCAAACAAAAAACATATGCTGTTAAAGTGAGTCTTTACTGTCATATATACTCAGTTTGGCAATCAGACAGTTTTGAAATGTAGAAATTGAAAGTATTGGAAATGCTGATGTTTCTGACAGTATTTTGGTTAACAAGCCGAAAAGTTCATAAACCACAGTGTTTTTCCTTTTTACTTCATTGCTATGTAACCACCTTCCATCTTCTGAGTTTAACATCTGCACTTTATCACATATACTATGGACTGTTAAATATTTTGATCTATTTGAGAATCATTCTTACCCAGTGCTGTTTGACCATCTCAATATCTATGTTCGCTAACAGGTTATCCCTAAAGCAGAGATACTGAGACTTGGTGTCTTGGAGCAATCAAAAGAAGAAGTTGTTGTGCAGGTGGGTACTGCCTTTTCATTAATCCTTCGAAGCTCTAATTCAAGTTCTTAAGGTCTGGAAATGGAAGAAAAGGCATTTTAAAAATCTTTCAGTGGATGATGTGCTGCCACACACAATTTTTCAGTATTTTTGTTCACTCATTCTTAAAAAATGTCTAACTTCATTTCCCCCAGCTGCTCAGTTAGAGTATTAAATAATACAGATTATTAATGAAGGAGGAAACGTAGCCCAGCCATGTGTATGGCTGAAGATCATGATGAAGCTTTTCCAGGTTCACAACCTTTGACTTTTACCCACAGCGTCAGGTTCACCACCCATTTGTCCATGACCTGCAGGACTGCTGGCAGACACAGCGCCACCTCTACATTAGTGAGTCGGTCAGCTACCAGTGACCCAGTCCCACCCAGATCCACAATCCCAAATCCCTTTTGCTCCACCTTTTGTCACCTCACCCCTGGTAGCTTAGTCCAGACTCTGCCCACAGCCCCAAACCAAACATAATGACTGAAAGACAGAAAGCTACCTATCCTTTGGATTCTGGATGTGTGTGCCTGATCGCTACTTAGATTTAGAGACGTTACCAAAACCTTTCCCAGCTTCTGTCTGCTGATTCCCCTGCGTTGTGCAACGGTTCTGTCTTTCTTCCCTTCCCTCCTGAGCATTTATGTTTTGTTTTTTCCAAATGAGGCACTGGCTCAGAAAGTTTGACCCACTTTGTTTGCTTCCCCACCCCCTGATAAAGCAGAGCACTTTAACACGGAACAATGCGACTCCCGTTTAAACTGTGAATCATCTCTGAGTCACGACTTGGAGGCCATAAACACAGACGATACGGAAACAACGGCTGTTTAAAGAAACTCCGACTTTACGTAAATTCTGCAGCTGCTATTGAGGATGATATTTACTAGCTGAAACTTTGAGCTGCAGCTGAGACACAGTATTGCCATAATGTAGTGTCATTTCACTGTGAGGTAGAAGACATGTATTTCTCACTTCAGGACAGGACTTCTCTTTCCTAATTCTTTCCACCTGTGTTTGTTCCACCCCATGGCACCCTTCACTACCCCTCTCATCGAGTCGGCATCACAGAGTGACATTTCCTGTGTGCTGATTTTTTGAGGTCCTCTCTGCTCCCACAGTGTGTGACTACTGCAGCACAGGAGACCTTTACACCTACTGGCAGATGATCGGTCAGTTCTGTGAGGGCACGGTCCGAATATTTGCCGCAGAGTTGGGATCTGCGATTGGTACGTGTGCATCAAAACACACTACACACTAAAAAATATTCAAAAATCAAATTTGGAAAGCTTTTTTTTTTTGTAAAAGATTTGGATTTTGGACATGATTTTCAAAATTGTGATATTTTCTTGTGGAAGATGGAACCTCTTAGTTAATATAGTTCAATCATAACTTGTTTTATAACTAAACAAATGATTTTCTTTATAGTCTTGGGTGTGGAGGATGCATATAGTTGTAGTATTTTAGAGGAAATTGAGTAAGAATAATTACAGCCTTGATTTAATCTCTAAACCTGAGTGGACATCGGTTAATAATAACACCAGGTTTGAAGAAAAGCATTCAGAGAGACATAGTCTTTTAGATATAAACTCTTTTTTCAAATGTGTTGCTTGCAGAAGATCTAAACTGTCACCACAAGAGTTTTAATTGTTATTTAGATGTAAAAAAAAAAAAAAACTGTAAAATTAGATAATATTAGCATAGTTTTACTATTTATTATCTCTGATCTTTTTTTGTTTTCCCACAGGTTTTCTGCATGATTTTGGGATCATCCACAGAGATGTGAAAGTAAGAGAAGGAAGAAACACACATACTTCATTTCTGTTAGTTCCTAAGCATCAAGGAAAACAATATGATCTCCATCCCTATTGTTTTTATATTTTCTTTCAAGTTGTCAGACCTGTGTTGTTTAAAAATCCTCTCAAGAATTAAGTTCATGTATTCAAACATGGGATATTTCTTCTGTGATTCTCACTCCACATGTACTGCAGAATGGAAGTTTTAGTTACCCTTGGAGTGACAGTTAGAGTTCAAAGTTGTTTGTCCTTTCTCTTTCTGTGTGATGGACTAGAAATCCATCCGTTGTGTACCCTGCCTTTCGCCCTGTGGCAGCAGGGGGTAGGCGGTAACCTAAATATGACCTTCCACTGGCTAAAGCAGGAGCAGAAAAAACACAGATGTTTTTTTTTTCCATTTCATAAAGTGTTGAAGGTTTTTCCCATTTTCCTGATAGTCTGTGCAGAGAAGGAGGCAACTCAAATCTTTTTACACAGTATTGCAAATGTATTATTTGGAAGAAAAACAAGTTTGAGTAAGATTACAATTTCAATGTGAAAATAACAGAAAGGCGTCTAAATGCTGATGCTGCTGTCACTGACTACGTGTTACATTTATTTGAATCCTAAAAATAGGACAAACTGTGTGTGTGTTTATCGTTGAGCATGTGTCTCATTCAGTGTTTTTTTCTTCTAGATGGAAAATATTCTTCTCACTGACAACGGTTAGTGAGATCTTGTTCCCAGCAGAGAGCAGCATAGCTCCGGTCTTCTGGAGGCACAGAAGCTTCCAGACTGACTGAGCCCAGAGCTCATTTCATATATGAATGCAAATAGTAAAATAGTTAATACTGAAAAGACTCAATAAAATAACCATGTCTAGATTTTGTATTTGGTCTTTCTGAACTGGTCTATGAAGGATGTGTCTCCTGCTTAAAATGATGCAGATAAAATCTCTTTCTAGGCCACCTCCGCTTAGCTGACTTTGGTTTGTCCCGTCGTCTGGAGAGAGGAGGGAGAGCATTCACCATCTGTGGAACCATCCAGTATATGGGTGAGAAAAACAGTCATTCATCTTGCCTGAGCTTCACACCATGTACTGTTTTCAGGGAATGACATGTACAGAATCACCATTTTTATATTAAGTCCAGACATGAATGAAAAAAAATCTGATCTTTGTGCTCTGCAGCCCCAGAAGTACTGAGTGGTGGGCCCTACAACCACGCAGCTGATTGGTGGTCACTAGGAATTCTGCTGTTTTCATTGGTCACAGGAAAGGTGAGCTCTTGTTGCCAGTATGTCGACTTCTGCTGCGTGACAAGTAGATCTCACGCATTATTATCCCCTCAGTGAACACAGGGACTTGAATTTGACTGCAAACAGGAGGCTGTGATCTTTTACTGCAAAGTGATTTTAATGTCCACAAGATTAATTACACAGATTTATTCACAGTTCCCCGTGCCTCCAGAAGCAGACCACTGCAGTATGCTGAGGAAAGTGAGGAGTTTTCCTTATGAAATGCCTCTCAGCCTGAGCCCCCAGCTCTCCTTGTTAATAACTGAGGTAATGGTACAAAGTGTACTCATATTGCTGCGGCAGCATAGATAAATAAATGATTTAATACTGGCCAAACAGATCATAAGCTACAGGTGTTTGTCTGTCCAGCTGTTGTGTAAGACTCCCTCCCGCCGCCTGAGATCTCTGGATCGTTTCAAACGCCAAACCTTCTTCCACGGAATAACGTTTGATCTGGACCTCCTGCAGCACCACCCTGTGGAGGTAACAGATGATTTCCTGACCGTAGCCACCTCACTGATTCAAACGTGTCTTATATAGTTTAATAGGTAAAGACTGCGTGGAAATGATGTGACTTTTCCTCATGGTCAGGTGATTCTGGAGCTGAGAGAGAGGCCAGACCGGGCTGCCAAAGCTAGACGAGGCCTCACCCTGTCCCTGCAGCCTTTGAAGGGTTTTGACTACGACTCACTCCTCAGTCCACCCGCCACACCAGACACACTTCTGTACACACCAACGGCTACTCCCCTGCCCGGCCCAACATTTCAGCCCCCTCAGGAAAAAGGTCCACGCAGGGAAGTGTTTGTGTGACGTACTTTAAGTGAACAGTTTGGCTGCTAACACTCTGAATGGAGAGGCCTAAATGTTGTGCACTGTTTCTTAACTTACATGTTGGTATAACACACTTTGAAAATTGTTCTTTGCAAAAGGCTAAAAAAAGAAAACATCGAATTTTGATTTAATGTGATCCACAAATCAGAAATACACCATGTAATATAATTTAAAAAGCTCCATGTCTCCTTAATTTCAAGCTTTTTTATGTGTGGACACCTTTTTAATTTCTTTGTTTGCCTTTCTACACGGAGCACATGTTAAAGCCTCCTTGCTCAACAGTCGTACAAAATAAATTCGACCAATACACATCTAGTTTTAGGTTTACAAAGCTTGGACATAGCTGCCTAGTAAATACATTGTTTGCATACTCTTTCTAATCCAAGCCTTTATGGTAATGTCACATAAGTTGGCCTCTATAAGATGTATTTATTTAATGTAAATGTGTTCTAGTAGAAATACAACCTACTCCTTTTCTGCAGTGATTATATTGCCGAACTTCAGCTCTTATTTGTTTTGTTTCGTCTTCATAAAACCTTATATTTTGTGCGGAAGTGGATAAAAGCCTCATGTGTTGTATTTGCCATCAGATTTATTGCTTAATTAATATTGTGACCATCCAGTGAAATTTATTTAACAGTCAGTAAATACAACCTGCCACTCAGGGGAGTACACATTGGTTTTCCTGTTTAGCCTTGATTTTGATGTCCATCTGTACAGATCTGAGTGCTAAGAACAGTATTATTCAAGATGTTTACCTCCAGTTAACTTTTTTGTATACTGACGTTCTTTTTCTATAATTTAGGGCTGTTACAGCAGCCTATAATCTCAGATTAAGTTATGATTTTTAAAAGTGCCCTGATGGTTACCCACAATGCCTCACATGCATGATCTTGATCTTGCTTTTTGATCACAAAATACTTGTGTATATACCAATATATAAAATATATACATAAAAAAATATATATATACAATATGTATATATATTTGTCTTTGTAAAGTTTTTATTAATAACTCGGAGGCGATTTATTGTCAGGTTTTATGATATGACTTTTTCATAATTACCATGTAACACAATAAAAAACATTTAAAAAAAGAAAAATGATCCCCTACAGTTCTCTTTTTAATTTTCCAGTCTGTGTTCAGTGGTTTGCAGACGAAGAGAAAGGTAGAAGGAATGCTTAAGTGGTTTATCAGAGAGCAAACAGAAGATCCTGATTTCCTCACCTTGTCAATGTTGTGTCACATTATTTCCACAGACCGACAGCATGTGTGTGGACATTTTTAATTTACTTAACTCTTGTGGGTTACTCAACATGGCTCACTGGTATTGATATTAAACACCTGTTGTGCACTCCTAAGATATGATTAACTGTTTTACATAACATTAACCTAATAAACACAAAGGAAAAACTGTGACATTAGTTATCATGCATAAAAATAAGAATCTTTAGAGTTCCTATCATCGTCACATTTGGGCAAAAATTCCCTATGACATCTATACTAAACAGATTACACTGATTTTGTTTTCATTTCAATTTTGTAAACTTGCCCGGATTGGGTTATGGTTGTATCAAAATGAATAGGATTGTAAGCGACTAGCATTGAACTGTAACTGTCAAGTACCTTGACATGACATTTGGCACTATATAAACATAAATTGAAATTGATTGGTTTCTCCAGAAAAACCTTTAAGCTAAATACATGCACGCCCGCTTAAACTCGTGCAATTTGATGATTGTTTAAACACAATGAGTTTTCGGTTTGAATCCTCTCATTACAATGTCCGTGTTTTGCTAGTTGTCGTGAGCTGCAGACGAAAGATGCAGAATCATACTGCGCTGTTCTCTCGGTTTGGTGACAAAATTGTTCCAGCGCATGCGCGTTCGCGATTAAGCGGCCCTGCATCACGTGATGCGGGATGTTAGCTCCGCCCCCTTCTCGAAGCTTTGTAAAGGGTCACGTTGCGCTGCAGCATTGAAAGAAGAGACGGCTCTGCATCCTCCACACCCAACTCACCTGCTCTCGAACCACTCTTACATCTACCTGTCGGTAAGATTCCACTCTCACCCTACCGAGAAAGGCTTCACACATTCCTAGACAGTTATTGATCCCATGAACGATGGCGGCAGTATTGATGCTGATGGGAATGTGATGCTGCGCTACGGAAAGCTAACTTTTTTTTTTGCTTCCTTGCTAGTAAGCCATAAGTGAATGACAGTCGATGTTCATCGTGTCTATTGTGCCTTTGTGTGCTTACAGAACCTTTACACTCTCGATTTGTCAAAAACAATATCTCTAAAGTTCCGCGTTTTCGCCCATAATCGAAATGCGCAACAGGAAGGGCGTTAAAACGGTGACCTTCAGGGATGGAAGTGAAGGAGATGAGCCTGTTGCGTAGCTTTCGACTTCTCATCGACGCATTCGGGCCATGAAATTTAAAAATGTCTTAGTTGGAGTGAATTTTAGCAGAAAATCGTGGATAGAAACAGGGGGGGGGGGGGGGGGGGGGGAGAGGGCGATGACGAAGGCGATGGCGTTTCCTGTCGGGGTGTATCTGTTCACCAGCACGTAGACCTCTGATGGGATGGAGGCGGGGCGGGCCGAGGAGACTCCCAAAAATGAAAACACGTAGGGAAAACGTCACGGATTGGAGTTGCAATTAAATCCTTTAAAAGAAGAGCAGAGAATATGATGAATATTTTATTTAGATTTATTATAAAGCTAACATGAAACTCAATAGAGATTCGTTTTTGTTCCTACCTCTGATAACATATTTTCCTTTGGTATACAGTAAAGATAATCTCGTCATTGATGTTATTTTCTTGCAAAATTGGAGGAAAACGAAGCACAATTGTTTCAGCCATGTTTTGTGTACACCATTTTCATTAAAAAAAACCCCAGTCGCTGCTTTTCAGAGATGACAGTTGGCCCTCTCCAGCCCATCATCCGCCATACCTGTTTCATGCTTAATGAGCTGTGTTCCAGATGGAAATGTTGCCGTGGTGTAACCTGCACATTTTCACTCGTGTCAACCTCTCTTTGAACTGCCACACGCACGCAGCCCTGACATCTGCCATAGGCTCCTGTATCAGTGAGCTACATGGGCAACAGTGCTCCTGCTAGTGCTGCTGCTGGATCGAGGCCTGAAGATAGAAGCAGCCCAAATACAGGGACGTGCATCAGCGCCAAGGCCAGCAGCCCCCCTGGTAAAAAAAAAAAAAAAAAAAGATTTAAAAATGCAGCGCAGCAAGAAGGCTTTTTTCCATTTTGACTAGTGCTGCCCTGCAGGAGCCATTTCACTGCCACAAAGCTAGTGCGGCTTGCAATGTAGAGGGAACAACAAGCCTGATAGGCCCCCAGGGGCCGTTGTTGATACACACATGGCAACGAAATAATAGATCCCCCATCCTCTCCCATTTTGCTTTATTTCTACAAAAAAAAAAACAATTGATATATTTTATCAATGTAATGACCGCCTATTTTTGTTTAATTTTTGTTGGTACCTTTTTTCTTTTCTTTTTTTATTTGCTAGAAAAACTGAGTTTATCCCCACTACCTGCCGCCTTATAATTGCTAGGCATCATAGTGCACGAGCTTCGAACACACCGTAGTTAAAGGCTTGCAGCAATGCTTCAAACAGCTGCAGCATGATTGCCAAAGCTGTTGATATTGATGTTGATGCATTTGTGACCTTTGACTCCATTCTGGGTGGGTTCTTTTCAAGGTGAAAGATGGCTGACTTTCAGACAAGCAACAAATTGATTTTTTTTTTTTTTTATTACACTGAAATGATTTCAGGTTGTTAAATTGATCCGGTAAGAATGAGAATTTTGATGTGCATTAGTCTTATTTTATTTTCCATTCCATACATATATTTATTTTTTGTCTATTTTTTTTGGAAGCCAGGCGTGGCGCAGCTGGGAGTTGGCCGTTCATCTTGGTGTCGCAGTACAGAAATGGTGTTTGTCATGTTGAGGAAAAGACTGTGCAACAAGCTGAAGTAAAAAATCTGTTAAGAAGTTGAAATGGCGACTTACTGTGATGCCTCTGCTGCAGGACAGTTTTTATCAAAGGCTGCACGAGTCCTTGCTGAGTCCTTGCTCATGAACTCTCTGGTGTGATTTATAAGACTGTGGGGGGGAAAAAGGCACAAAACGGACACCTAAAGAAATAAAGACAGAGGTGCCCTTGGGGAAACTCATTTCTAATGTCAGTTAACCAATTTAGAAAAAAAGATAGGAATAAATTAGCTTTTATGCTAACTATTAAGCCCCTTGGTCCTGCCAACCCATAACCCAAATCTATCAAATGAGTTGATATGAAACTGTCTTTTTTGCTTTAGTTTGACTTCTGTATTGTCAGGGCTCTTAATGACTGGATGATGTGGCCCGTCTTCAGGTTGTTTTGCTCTTATGTTCCCCCATGAGCAGGGCGTTTCCAGGAGACGCTAAGGGAGCAGATCCTAAATTGAGAAACTGTGGTATCTCCAGCATCCTTTAGGTACAAATGCAGGGGAAGTCTGCCTTTAAAAGACAACAACTGGGCTAAGTTTTGATTAATCTGTGGCATCCAGGAGTCGGCATCAATCCTAAAATAAAATAAATAACAAGGTAATGCTATTCATTCCAGCCCTCTTAGAAAAATTGCTACAGCTAACATGAAGTAAAGTGAAATGCATCTCTAGACGCAACTAAATGGATTAAATCTGAATATAGACCGGGGAGGTAAAGGTGTGGTTTACATAAGTTCATTAACGCAGACTTTTAAGGGTCACGTTGTCAGACAGTAGTAAATGCACAAAAATAGGTTGTGGATGAATGAGAAGGTATAATTTTATTTCTTTTATTCCCATCTAAGTATTTAGTTTTATATTGACATTAGTTTAACAGCCAGCTTTCAGGTCACAAACTGCTTTACTACTCTTCCATTAGGTTTAGTTATTGATCAGGTGTCAATCCCAGTCCTGGGACCAGTTCCCTTGCCTGATTACATTCCACTAGTCATGTGAGGACTGCAGTGTGTCCTCAGAATCCCAGAAAAGTCTATTGTTGAAACATGCAGCTGCCTCACGAAGGATTGCAGACATTTGCCGACCTTTTGTCTGGCAGACCGATAAAATACAGCCCTACTTATCGAGCCTGGGGACTTTTATCAAGTGTAGATACGGGCTTTATTTCACTTGAGACTGGCGTCTTGTGGTGCACACTCCTGAACTAATTGTCCTCCTCAGGAGACGCATTGTGCCCTGCAGATCCCGCCTGTTTAATTTCACCTGCGTGTAAAATGTAACTAAGAGCAGTGACCTGCTGGCTGTTATCTCTTAGCAGTAAGCTGAGGATTACTATAGGGGGTGCAGGGTTTCCCAGGCAGTGACCTATCAAAGCATAACGGCCTCGGTTTGGATTTAAGTGGTCAACTAAGTTCATTTAGTAGTATTATATACTCATGGCACGATATTGCTTTTCAAAATGCAAACCATATGAGGCTGTATGTTTTTATTTTATTTCGTTCCAACATGGACAGCAGCCATTTTCTTTTTTTCCATGCAAAGCTGTGCTCACAGCTGCCGGCTGCTGCTAACCTCTTAGCTGTTCATCAGACTAATTGATCCTAGCCGATCCATTCTAACAGCGCATACCGCTGTAGCCGTGAATGCGGGAACAAAGCTTCAATCAGCAACGGCTCAGCAGGCGGTGCAGTCACCCAGAAAGACGAGCCACAGCTTGTCTCCCGGCATACCCTGCCTGTTCGGGAGTCAACAACTCCTATGTCTGGTCTCCTGACTCGAGTTTACAGGAAATAATTGGCAGTCTTTAAGAGGCAGCACTACTAAAGGGCGGCAAATGATTCAATGTCGTGCTTGATTTATTAAAGGGGATATCATGACAAAAGGGGAAACGGGGGGAGTGTTGCTGAGGAGAGGCGTACGGGCCTAGGTGCATTCAGTCCTGTAATGGGGACTGGCAGCACGCTCTATAGGAGCGTTGTTTCATTACACCTCCCCCTCTCTGTCCGCTGTGATTCACATGCGGAAGGGAGGGGGGGAGGAGTTGCGTAACCGCTTATTTACGACAGATTGAAGGAAGGAGAAGGGAACAGAATAGCCTAGTTGGAGGCTGCTCACGCCGAGCTGCTCCTGAGAGCCACACCGATAACGCGTCAGAGGTTTTCACCACCTGTTCCGAATGCATGCATAATATCAATGAGGAACTCTCACACACGTCTGCATTACTGAACACGGTGCGTCCAGCTTTTTCCCCTCAGGAAACGGCTCACTGTCTTTGGTTTTTCTCACATCCCACCCACACACACACACGCACACACACCAGCTGCATCACTGGAGTGACTGAGTGCCATCATGCTGCTCTGCGCTGTAGCACGTTAGCCACGTTGAGGATGGGGGATGTGGAACCATGTCGTTGCGGGGCAGTCGTCCGGATGCAAGCGGTCAAAGAATGTCGCTCTCTCTTTCAGCCACCATGACTCACCAGTATCCGGCACTGAGTCCTGAGCAGAAGAAGGAGCTGGCAGACATCGCCCAGAGGATCGTCGCCCCAGGAAAAGGGATCCTTGCAGCTGATGAATCCACCGGTAGGTTTGGGATTCATCAGGTTCACATCCACAGCACTGGGAACACCTGCTGGTGCTCACTCTATCACTTCCCATCAAATAAAAGCAAGAGTTCCTTTAAAATACTGACTAAACAGCTGCAGGTCAATGTACCCACATTTGAAGTTCTCTGAAGGCTTTTCGGGCTTTGTTGTGTAAACGTGCGTTTTTCTTTTTTTCTTTTTTAGGCAGCATGGCCAAGCGTTTGACCCCAATCGGGGTCGAGAACACAGAGGAGAACAGGCGCCGCTACCGCCAGCTGCTCTTCACCGCCGACCAGCGCATCGACAGCTGTATCGGAGGAGTCATCTTCTTCCACGAAACCCTCTACCAGAACACAGACGATGGCACCTCCTTCTCCAAGCTCATCAAAGACCGCGGCATCGTGGTCGGCATCAAGGTGAGCGGCGCACAGCACTGCAGCCGGCCAGTTAAAGCCCCCAGCCTCCCTCTTACGATTTAAAAAAAAAATTTAAAAAAAAATATGTTAACATTGCTTTTTTTCTTGGGAACAATGTGCAGAAAGCTCTATTGGCTGTGCTCTGACTGTAAAAGGCCCCTAAACTCCATTGTTGACGCATTGCTGTATTTCAGCTTAGCAGGGAATAAAAGCACTCTGGTCGGTTCAGGCAGGAGAAACTGGAAACTATGCAACAACACAAATATGTTGCCATGTTTACACATGCAACCGCCCAAATCAGCAGGCCAAGTTGTGACAACAAACTGAGCTTCAGAGGCATGCCTGTTTTTCTGTCTCCAGGTGGATAAAGGCGTCGTGCCCCTCGCCGGAACAAACGGAGAGACCACCACTCAAGGTAGGCGCTAGCAGCGACAAAACCGGTAACCTGGCAACCCCCAAATGGCGTGCGCTTGATGCTTGATGCTCCACGCTGTGTTCTGGGTGCAGGTCTGGACGGGCTCTCTGAGCGCTGCGCACAGTACAAGAAGGACGGCGCAGACTTCGCCAAGTGGCGTAGTGTGCTGAAGATCAGCGAGACCACGCCGTCCGAGCTGGCCATCTTTGAGAATGCCAATGTGTTGGCCCGGTATGCCAGCATCTGCCAGCAGGTGAGTGGGAACTGAACGAAGACTGGAAATAAACGAGAAGGTTGCCAATGATTAAGAGACAGCTTACCTTTTGAGTTAAATGAAAGCACAGAATGTTATAAACTCCAACTATGATTCACAGAGAAGGATTGTTACTCTTTTTTTAAAAATGTTATTAAATGTTTTATAGAACGGCATTGTCCCAATTGTGGAGCCAGAGATCCTTCCTGATGGAGAACATGACCTGAAGCGTTGCCAGTACGTCACAGAGAAGGTAAGGTCCATCTCTGTGTGAGTGTGTGAGTGTGTGTGTGTGTGTGTCACAAAGTGTTGTAACATTGTCTGGTTTGCTTTTTAGGTCCTTGCTGCTGTGTACAAGGCTCTGTCAGACCACCATGTGTACCTGGAGGGCACCCTCCTGAAGCCCAACATGGTCACACCCGGACACTCCTGCCCCACCAAGTTCAGCAACGAGGAAATCGCCATGGCTACTGTCACTGCCCTGCGCCGCACCGTGCCTCCAGCTGTCCCAGGTGGCATAACAGCTTGTATCTGGGCACACGTATATCTAACTCTGTTGGCCCCCCTGATCATATGTTCTCAGACCCCAGCTTTGAGTTGACTTGTAACATTTTATTTCTTTATTTATTTTTTTAACCATGTAGGGGTCACATTCCTGTCTGGTGGTCAGTCTGAAGAGGAGGCCAGCGTGAACCTCAATGCCATCAACACCTGCCCGCTCGCTAAGCCCTGGGCCCTGACTTTCTCTTACGGCCGCGCCCTGCAGGCTTCCGCCCTCACCGCCTGGAAAGGAGAGCTGAACAACGAGAAGGCCGCCACCGAGGAGTTCATCAAGCGCGCCGAGGTCAGTCAAAACGCTACGAGTTGTTCATTATATGCTGATGCATGAGAGCTTGTATTTATTTATTTTATTTTTTGTCTTTCCAGGCAAATGGCAAGGCTGCACTCGGCAAGTACGAGTCAGCTGCAACTGGTGGCGCCGCATCAAAGTCCCTCTACGTGGCTAACCACGCCTACTAAACGTCAAAACTCCCACATTCAGCTGTGGCCTAGTTCTAGTCTTATATCTGCTCTGCTATTCTCCCTCACTCTTCCATCAGTCACAGGCCTGTGCTGTTTACTTTGTTATCAGTTATTGAGATTACATTGTTAAATGTGTATTTAAAAGCAAGATACCATGACAATACTAAAGGGAACAGGCTTTCTTTGTTTGGGTTCGGTTTTTCTTTTCCTTTTTCTGTTCCAACAAAATCAATGCAGTTTGAGACCATTCGTAACTTAAGTATTGAATCATTTTATCGCTACCTTTGGTAGGGCTCAGACTGAGGTTGGAGGCAGCAGAGTGTAACCAAGATAATCAGTCAGTATTCATTTCATACCTCCTCATGAGCACGCCTGTCTCCACAACAGGTGCTCCCAAGAAGACCAGCTCAGCATGTGAGTGTCACGCCTGTGTCAGAGCACAACGCTGGCTTTTTAATCCAAATGCTATACTAACATCCACAATAACAGTGGGACCAACCGAGTCATTAGTGACAACAGTACATATGTTAAAGGGCAAAGTGAGGAGATGAACGATGAAGGGTTGTTCATCTGAGCATATATAATGCTTTCAGACAGCTGTGGATCCAGCAGAAATTAAACAGACGGTACTGAAACAACCCGCTCCACACCGAGACTCATCTTAATGTCTTTGTTCTTGTGCTCCTTATCGTCATTGGCCACGGGGAAAAAAGAAATCATCATGTGTGTCTTCTCAGTATAACATTAGCTTTAAATTTCACTCCGTAATTACTGTATTCAGTTGTGTGAAGGTGTCGCTATTATGTGGTGCTTGTGTGTGTCACCCTGCCCCCCCCACCCCATACCCAGCTGTTTCCACCTGCCTGCCCCACTCGAAGATCAGATGGGTTTATATTGACTTACACACACGCAACAAGGACCAACATGTTGGGGTCAGCAGTGTGGAAACGGTCACTGCTGTGTTGGAATACTGTGATGTGATGTTAATATTGTTCTTGAAACACTCGGTGTGTCAAATAGTGGAGAAAATAAACTAAAATACACCTATATCATCTGTGTTGTTGCTCTGTTGTGTAGAACACGGTCTTTTCAAGTGCTATTTTTCACTCAATTCCTTCTACTACACCATTTAATTACCTTACAAACTGGGGGGTAAGACTTTCAACAGGTGACGGGAACAATGAAAAGTTATGAAAAAAAATTACGCACACAGGAAGCACAACAAGGAAGTGGTCAGTTTGAGGACGCATCCGTAGAACTACTATCTGAAGACTGCCCTTTTTAAAATTTTACTCTAGTCATAGAGCCATGCAGTGAAGGCTGAAGATTTTTCTGAAAGCTGTCATGTCAAACCAGACAAACTGTTTTTTATTTATTTTGTTTTTTTAACTAAGGCAAGCATTAGCTCCTTTTAATAATAATAAAAAATCCATAGTTTGTTCAATTTTACACTGTTATATTGCATTATGCTACCATACACAGATAAATGAGAGCAGAATAAGGTGGCACACTGCTTCTAACTCTTTGAATTGGATCAGGAAAAAAATCTTACATTAGTTAATGTGTTTCCAAACTCAATACAACGGTAATAAAGTTATACTTATGTTATATTTATGATTTAATATCATGTATTTGTGGCGACGTGCACTATGAGGTGAAGTGCGTGTTAAACTCACCACAGGGGGGCGCCAGTCACCCCAAAAGTCCCAATTCCGAATGTGCCCTTAATATTAACGCCGGGTCGCTGCTTCCCCGGTTTCCCCATTTTCTTTAGTATGGGTCATAGAGACACGGGTTTATAGAAATAAACTGTACCAATACATTTCTTTAAATCATAAAGCTGTTCTACCATTAGTGGCCTATTTCCTCCTTCGGTCATGTGACCTGTGACGGTGAACAAGCACATCCGGTTCATTGACAGAAATGGCCACCACGGAAGTAGGTGAGTGGAGTCAACGCCGAATTCGCTATAATAATATTTTGTCCTTTAAATTCCATAAATTACTATTCTTTAAAAGGAATCTGGTGCCGATGTTTCAATTCTACCCAAAGCTATCATTTTCTTAAAGGTTAAGCTCCTTATGCTAACAGCTAACTAGCTGTAGCTGCTTCTTGACTCAGAAAGATGTTGCAAATATATGCACAGTTTTAGGTTTAATCAATACATTAAAAGAGCAAATCTTTTCGCCATTAGTGCTTTATTGTAAGAGTGTATTACGGAATTATGCTGAAGGTTTTGACCCCATATGTGTGTTCTTAAGCTGCATCATCAATGGTTATGATTACAGCTGCCATGTCAAAGGATGAAGATGAAGACAGTTAGAGCTGAAATGTTAAGCAGAAGAAGAAGTAGAAAAATAATTTGATCTTTTCTAAAACATAAAATATTAAACATTTTCTACTTACGGCTCTTATGAACGGTACAAGTAAAACAGTTTTCGGATGTCACTGTACACAGGATTGTTCTGTTCTTTACTCATATTCCCTGTAAGTTAAAGGAAAAACAGAGAAACCATTTGGTCCTTTCAGAGCGCAGGCGCGGTCAGCTGGCTGCTCTGTCCATAGCAGTGGTGGTCATCGTGGTCGGAGTGCCCCTGTGGTGGCGAACAACAGAGACGTACCGGGCCTGGCTGCCTGTCAGCCAGATAAGAGAACTGGCAAAACTGCAGGTTTGTTCATGCCTCCCAGCCATTGCCGGACTCTCGTTTCACGGCTCATTCATCTCTCAGGTGTATTTCACGTTCTCAGCTGTCCCGCGCTCTCTGTTTTTGTTCTGTGCAGCTCCAGCTGAGTGCTGATGTGGAAGTTGTGTTTGCACGTGGTACCGTGACACCTGAGCAGCAGAAGAAGGTCCCGCTGACACAGTCGCAGGATGAGGACCGCGTTGTGGATGGTGCTTAATGATGTCCCATAGGCTTTGATTTAATAATTAGAGGCCTTTGAGTTAATTCCTTTCTCTGATTCGTTCTTTCTCCAGAGGACACGGTTATGAGGTACAGGTATGAGACGAGGTACCGAACAGCTACAGTAATGGAGGAGGACGCCTTGAACAAACCTACAGCTGCAGGTCAACTCCAAGTCAAACCCAGCTGTATGCATTTCACGTTTAGCTGTGATATAATCTCACAGATGGTCACTTCCCTTTGTTGCTCTTGCTTTTGCTCCTGCAGAGGCAGATCTATCTCTGCACACTCTAAGTGAGAGTCCCTGTGGTTCTTTGGTCGTATATGTGATCCCAGAGTCGTCTGCACTTCTGCCTGAGGTTAAGATTTTTGCATGTTTGTAGGAAAATTAGTCGGAAGATATGTTCGGGTAACTGCTTTCATGTTTTTATGAATAGTGTAAGTATTGTCATGTACTTCCGTGCTTCTCAGGATGTGAACGTGTATGTTGGTCAGAGACGGACAGCCCTGCTCCGCCTAGGTGCTCAGATGAGAGATGGCAAAACTCTGGAGCAGCTGCTGTCAAACCTGAAGCCTCGGATCAAAGAGGTGCTGCAGGTGATGTCCTTCAGCCACGCCGACATCACCGCTGCGCTCAGCGACAGAGTCCGCTTTAACCCTGGGAGCAGGGAGAGCATCGCTGACAGCATGAGAGCCTTCAAGTCAAGCCCAGGTTGTTTTGGTCTTCCTATCTTTTTTTTTTCTCGCGCAGCCACAAAGTGAATCAAATTTCTTCTTAACACTTTCTATATCTTGTGTTTAGGTTATGAGATAACATTCAGTCTGTTGAATCCTGACCCAAAGTCACACCGAATCCATTGGGACATTGAGGGTGCTGTTCAGACCTACATCCAGCCTTTGCTAACAAAGCTGGCCCCCTTGGCCAACTTTAGTATGGATTCACAGGTACAAATAGAAGCAATATGTTGTCATGAATAGCTGCCCAGCAGCTTTACGTTCATGTGTCTTTTGTTTTTTACAGACCTTACACTATGCCGTGCTTGGCGTGAACCCACGCTTTGACAGCAGCCATAAGGCCTACATGCTCAATGCAGACAGCCTGGCACATGTCATCAACCCGGTGGAGGCCAGACTTGGTAAAGTGTTTTTTTTTTCCCCTTTTTTTATGATTACCCAAATGAACATAGAATGCTTTTAAAGTTTGTTTTACATAGTCATTCATTAGGAAAATGTCGTTATCATTAAATTTCCAGGGTCTAATGCGGCGTCCTCCAATCCAGTGCTGAATTTTCTTCTCTACGTCCCGGATGCCCTCCGTTCACCTCTTTATATCCAGGATCACAAGAAGCAGAAAGTGCCCTCAAATGCGTTTCACTCCCCGCGTTGGGGTGGAATTATGGTAAGGTCATCACAAGATGCCACAGACTAACTAAAAAAATGTGTAAGGTTTAAACATCCATTTATTCCACCCTGTTCAGCTTTTTATGCATGTAAATGCATAAAAAGCATTTACATGCGGTCGCTCTTGTTTCCTCAGGTTTATAATGTGAACGGTTTCTATAAGTCAGAGGCTGAGTTTCCTGTTGACATCAACATCAACATGGCTAAAGTCATGGGAGTCTTCCTTGCACAGCTTAGGTATGTGTTAACCCGCACTGTGACAGTGTTTCCATTCTCTTGTGGACACAAAGTAACTTCTCCCATCACGTGTCCCGTCAGACTGCTGCTGGGCGTGCAGTCATCATCGACTCCCACCGGCTTCTTGGTTGCGCCATGCGGCAGCGCAGGGCTAGCTGACTGGGAGCTGGACCGTCTCATGTGGAGTCGCAGTGTGGAAAACATCGCAACAGCCACCACGACCATTACCTCTCTTGCACAACTGCTGGATCAGATAGGCAACATTGTTCTTAATGACAACATTGCCCAACAGGTAACCTACACGAAGAGCTGACTTAAAACACGTTTTGCTAACATTTTTATATTAATTTGTGGTTTATAAAAGATGTCAGAAATTTTTTTTGAAAAAATTTGAATGCCTTCTTCACAAGTTAAGGGGGGTTATGGTTAAAAAAATTAAGCTAATTATTAGGATATCATCCATCCATTCATTACCGTAGCTGACTATAAGAGGCTTTCTTATGCTTCTAAGCTGCATTACCGTATCCAACCTGTGATTGCTGTCTCTGTCTCTTAGGTTTCCAGTGCGGTGTCGTCTCTGCAGCTGGCTGTGGCTGAGCTAGAGGCTGGGAACCTGGGCTTTGCTCTGCAGTACAGTAAAGATGCCATCCAGGCATCAGAGAAAGCCTTCTTTGACCCTTCACTTCTCCATCTCCTGTACTTTCCTGATGACCAGAAGTTTGCTATCTACATACCACTGTTCCTGCCCATGTGTGTGCCTATTCTGCTGTCACTTATCAAAATAGCGTCTGAAGCAAGGCAGAGATATAGAGAAAAGAAAGCCAAAAATGACTGAGAGACACCTGAAGAGAACAAGGCGTGATGTACAAAAAGCATGTTATAGATGGGTTTCTGTTTTGGGTGGCCTTGCTATTTTATGTACAGATGTCAGCAATAAGAAATTTGATTTACAGCTCGGGGGTGTTGTTTGCGAGTCGGTCATGTAATTTTTTTTTCTACTTGTTTATATGAAGAGGTATTTCTGTTCTAAGATTTTATTGATGGAGTGCTCTGATTGTCTGACACTGTACAGTTAAAAACTTGACATTTTGTAAAGTTTTATCTTTGAATTTCCCTAACGTAAGTTATTGAGAGTTAAAGAATAAAGATTTAACTTAACATGTCAGTCTATTTTTTTCTTTATCTCTCTTAAGTTAAGAAAAAGATAACACTGTCTGTTTCATTGCATTTTGAGCCAAAGCACTGACTGATCTCTATAATAATCCTTATAATTGAGAATAGGGATACACATCTGCACATATATAGGTCTTCTGCTAATATTGAATAGCTTAATATATTTGACAGTTATTACATGTTATACAGCTCAGCTTTATAGAGCAGCTACATGAATTTGAGCGATGGCTCGATTGTTCCCAAGTTTAGGCCCTTGGAGCTAAACTCTTTGGTGCCGGTAGATGGCGCCATTTTTATCTTTAAAGCTAATTTCCTCTTTCTCTGCGCCGAAGAAGAAGGTGCAAGTGGCTGCCTTGTGTCTTCCAACTCGAGTAACTCTTTGTCTACTGCTTGGACATCTGTCGTAGTTGTCCCTTGTTTCGGTCGACGTATCGTTTAACGGCTCAGTTCGGAGTTGAACGCGTGAATAGCCCGCCGGTTTCCCTAATCCTTAACCTAGCTTCAGTTGGCTTCATCATGACTGGAATTATTCGCGGACCCGCGGGTAGTAACGACTGTAGGATATACGTGGGGAATCTTCCCCCGGACATCCGCTCCAAAGACGTGGAAGATTTATTTTACAAGTACGGATCTATTCGGGATATTGACCTGAAAAACCGTCGAGGAGGACCACCGTTTGCCTTCGTGCAGTTCGAGGACCCGAGGTGAGCGTCGGTTCCCCGCCAAGACTCGGCTATGTGCGCAGTTAGCCCGAACACGCCACGGAGCTTTCAAAAGTTGAAATGCACCGACAGAGGCTCGGCTCCCCGTCTTATCGGTGGAAACCGAACACGTGTTTTTGTGTTGGGAGATACGGAGACTTTACCTCATGGTCTGTGAGGTGGTTGTGAGTTAAACTGATCCCGGTGGCGGGGGGTGTTTGTGTTATCTGCGCTCCCTGAGGCCTGGTGCGTGCGGCTAACCGCTCTATGGACACAAGCAAGTCCTTTGGAATGTTTTCTGTATTTAAAAGTGCAGAATGTATGATAAATCTGACTTGCAGTGTCAAATTTGATGAAAGAAAAACAACAAATTCCCACAATTAAAAGTTAAAATCACACAGATTAACCAAATTAGAGTTTAAACTGAACAAAAGCCTTTTTCTTTATTCTACTCTGATGCTCCAGTGTATGTGACTTCTTTCCACGTTTTTTTAATCCATTTAAGAGATTTGGTTTGGCTTAATGTGTCTAGTGTGTAATGTTATTTTGCCTTCTTTAAAACTAAAAAACAACTTTCCAAGTCACACTGTGCCAAGTAAACTAACTGAAGGCTTTAAAATAAAAAGTTGCTCAGAACTTATACCATAATGGTTTAAGATGAGTCAAAAGGCAGTGAAAGCCAAAGTTTAGCAGTATGTTATGGAAAATGGTGGTTCTTGTCTGCTTCAATGTGATCAGAACAGATCAATAGGTGCTCATCCTACAGCTCCTGATAACTTTGTCGAATGACTTTGCAGGGATGCAGAGGATGCTGTGTACGGGCGAGATGGTTATGATTACGATGGCTACCGCCTGCGTGTGGAGTTCCCAAGAAGTGGAAGGGGAGGAGGAGGAGGAGGAGGAGGAGGTGGTGGCGGCGGCGGCGGTGGAGGAGGAGGAGGAGGAGGAGTAGGAGGGGGGATGGGACCCCCTAGGGGAAGGTATGGCCCCCCATCTCGACGCTCCGAGAACAGGGTGGTTGTGTCAGGTAGGTGATGTTTTCCTTATTTCTGTAGGTTCTTTATTTGTAGTCCACCATCCGAGTCTCATGCCATCATCTCGCCTTTCAGGTCTACCCCCCAGCGGGAGCTGGCAAGACCTGAAGGATCACATGCGGGAGGCAGGTGATGTATGTTATGCTGATGTGTTCCGTGATGGCACTGGAGTGGTGGAGTTTGTGCGCAAAGAAGACATGACGTACGCTGTGCGTAAACTGGATAACACCAAGTTTCGCTCCCATGAGGTACGTAAAAGATCAGAGCATGAATCTTACTAGCTGAGGAGAGTCTCTGGGACTTCATTTGGCGGTTCAAAAACGTACCTAAATGAAACAATGACCAGCCAGTAAGTAAAGCCTGTTGGTTGATTTTGAGTGTTTGCTATGGAACACATATTGTTTGCATAAAGGTGGCATTTTTAAAAACAGCCATTAGCCTATTTCTGGCTTCTCCGAGCAAATCTGCCGAATGATACTTCCATGAGTACTGAAATGAAGTTCACTGATCGTAACAGAGGGGCTTGTTGTGCGTTTGGATGTGTCTTTAGGGAGAGACGGCCTACATTCGTGTGAAGATGGATGGACCTCGCAGCCCCAGCTACGGCGGGCGCTCCCGCTCCCGCAGCCGGAGCCGGAGCAGGAGCCGCTCCCGCAGCTACTCCCCCCGCCGCGGCAGCCGGGCATCTCCACGCTACTCGCCCCGCCGCTCCCGCTCTCGTTCCCGCTCCCGCTCTCGCACCTAGATTGACCCAAAACGAGGCGATGACCTATCAGGGTGTAGCCGCAGAGGAAGTGTCCCCATCACATAACAGATTGTGTATTCACCAAGGATTATCTTGTCATCTGTGCACCCTGTTGTGTTGTTGTGTTCCGTTTCCCTCCACTTTTCTTTTTTTTTTTTTTTTTTTTTTTTTTTTTTTTTGTTTTGGCCTTTATTCATGACCCAGTGTGGCTTCTTTCTTTCCCCTTTTTTCCGTCTCATGAAGGCTCCGTTTTCTGCTTTCCATCTCACCCTCATATCTCTGCAACTCTCTTTGTTTGTCTGTCATGGTTGAATGCTTTAGCTCCTTTTGCAAACATTTTTTACCTCTGTCAAGCATATACAACTGTCCTCTGACCTTCTTGTGTGTTTCTCTGTAGAGTTCAGAGGAACAGGATAGGATGGGAAGAGAGGAGTCAGTTCATGTTAAGATAAACAGGAGGAGGAGGAATCAAATGTGGCACCAATGGTATGATGGCTGTGCCTTGTCAACTGTGAAATCTGCATTCTAAGGCTTTAGTGAATTTTTTTGTTTTGTTTTAAAGGTTCACTTTAAACTTTAGTGTGCCGTTGCTGAATGTTACAGTACCGTGCTGTACATCTTGCTGTATTTGGAGACCCTGAGCTTGTTTAGCTTTTTCCCAACTGGTTGTAACTTTGGGCTTGATTGTAGATGGTGTCCCCTTTTTTTGTTTTTTCTCCATAAAGTAAACTCCCTGGTAGCTGCATTTATGAACTTTTCTTGAAGTATTTTCTGAAGGTGTGATTCTAACTTGCCTCCTTCTCTTTGGTTCTGCTGGTATTCTGAAGGTTTGGACTGGGCTCATTGTCTCCCCATTCCGGATCCGGATCAGGATTCAGGATCAGATCAGGATTAGGATTAGGCTTCAGGATGGATACATGGAGCACGACCCTGGCCCTGTCCACAAAACCCAGCAAACTGGAATCATTTTAGTAGGATAATGAGACAAAATTGGCTTATCCAAATTATTTCTTCCATTTTGCATGGGACCTCTGAGAGAGTGATGAACCATTATTTTTCCCCAATTTTTCTTTCTTTTTTTTTTTTTTTAAAAAAAAAAAAAAAAGAAGAGCAAAGCTTGGATCAGAACCAGGAGGAGGGCTGGGAGGTGCAGGATGGATCCACACACGTAAGGAGAGTGGTAAATAGTTTGCAACCTTTGTCAGGGAAGTGGGAGGTCTGGGAGGCAACAAGGGAATATGACGTTAATGTGGTTTGTATCTCCCACCACCCTATAAGGTCCCATAGTCTTTCCAAACGTGGATGTTTCTAATTTTCTTGAGTATAATCACCACTATTGCAAAGGTTTATTCTCTTTTAATAAAACATTCGGTAACATCAAAATATCTCGTTTTTCTTTTCTTGCCCGCAAAACAATTTATTTTCCACTAAACAGATTTTCCTCAAATGTTCATGAATCTGTTTTTACAGGTTATATGAGTTGCGTTCCATTCAAAGTTAGAGGGTATTATGACCTGATTCTAACTGACCGAACAAGGGATGAACAGCATGTTTGTTTTCACAGAAATTACTAATTTTATATCAATTAGTAAGACTCGTGTAAAATGCTGCTTAATCATGATTTCATGTCGTTTCGCTGACCACAACACGACAGAAGGAATACTTTATATCGCACATTTAAAAAAACAACGCAGCATTAAACCACATAGTGGAAGCTAGCAACTCAGGTTTTAAACCCTCAACTAAATTTTGGCTATATATATATATATATAGATTTATATATTAGTGCAGAGTGGATTTCTGGAGTCGGTTTTGTTAAATAGTGTCACTGTCCTCCTTTGGCGATGATCAGGACACCGTTTATGGTCCTTATTTCTATAAAGACATTCCGGCTGTATGCTCAATTGCTTCAAAATTAGACATGGTGACAGAATAATATCGCATCCCATGCTCACCTCCTTTCTGGTGGAATGGTGTAAGCTTTAAGGAGATCTACAGTAACATGCAGGAGTTTTGGGGAACCTCCATCACCACCTTCTCCTCTTCCACTTAGAAAAATCTCAACACACATTACATGGATGAAAACAACATTGTTTACAGTTTCTACACACAGCACATGTAAGCCAGGATGTAAATAAATCACATTTGGACCAGTTTGGTTGTTGAGGGTCAAATTCGCGTCACAGTGAAGGAGAACTTACTTCAGAGTTGCAACATTCTAAGGTAAGTCAAGGTAAAGAAGCATACGGTTGAAAACAGCTCGACAGTTAATAAAGCTTATTGGATGCTGAATCCAGGCATAAATCCCACTTTTTCTGTTGTTATTCTTCCATTTTTCTCTGTTTAATCACAGAAATGGTTGAGAAAACTAGGCTTGTCGACCAGATTTGTTGTTGGTATGTGTTTCCTTATACCCATCCCAATGTCTGAATGAACTTTGGAACACTAATGCAAATAATAATACCACAAACAGTGAGTCGCAGAACTGCACACACCAATCTTAAAAACAAATCAATTAGAAGTAATTATATTACTTTTCTTCATTCGTGTGCATATTCTTTTTAATTGTCATTAAGTGCATGATTTTTGTGTTATTCCAATAAGCAGAAAATAGTTTCAGATCTGCAGTTCTCCTCTCACTCGGATCAAACTCAACCTGATCATCTGCGTCCATCAGGCCCCCCACCGGGGGGGGGGGGGGGGGGGGGGGGTGCATGGGAGAGCCATGGGAGAGGGTGGGTGAAAATGGTGCATTCTGGGTGGAAATAAGATGCGGGCGTCGTCCGCAAGTGAAAAACATTCGTCAGCAGGGTGGGGGCTCGGCCGGGGCCAATGGACGGGCGGAAGTGCGGCGGAGGGAGGAGCGCAGCCACCACGCGACCTGCCATAAAGGAAGCAACCGCCGAGCAGCCTGCCGAAACGTGCAGCCCGACAGACCCAAACTTCGCAGATAAACGGCCGGAGTGATTCCCAGGGTGAGTTGCCTCCCTCGTCCCGTCCGCTGGACGCTGGAACGGCCCTGCGTGCAGGGCTGACCGCGGTCATCGGCGCCTGCACGCTGCTGTGCGCCGCCCAGCGCTGCCCCTTCCGCCTCAGGACGCAGCTTAGGGCCACTTATTTAATTTTCGTGTCTGTGTGTGTGCTTTGTTTGCCAATAAGGCTGCATCAGCTTGTTCTGCCAGTGACGGACGTATTTCAGTTTAGGAATAGTGCCCATATCGGGATGCAACATTTAGTCTCAAATTCGTTTTATTTGTCTATTTTGCATGCCTGACAGTTGGAAACTCAGAGCTCCTGTTAGTCCCCATCCACCGCATTAGATAAGCTGCCCGCCTCAATAAAGCCCCAGTTCAAATGCATGCAAATGGTCCGTTTTCTCCAGGCAGGTGCTGGCAGCTGTGACGTAGTCATGGTGGAAAAGCCTTACCCAGAGATGAGTGCCTGCTAGGCCACTTGTGTGAAGTGTTTTTATTCTCTTGAATTTAGAACGCCATCATGTCTGACAAGAAGGCAGTGATCAAAAATGCCGACATGTCTGATGAAATGCAGCAGGATGCAGTGGACTGTGCCATGCAGGCCATGGAAAAGTACAACATCGAGAAGGATATCGCTGCCTATGTCAAAAAGGTATGGCATCTCTCTGATATTGGTGGTAAGACTGCGCTGAAGTCTACTTAAGGCCTTGTCAATGATTGTCCCCCTCGCAGGAGTTTGACAAGAAGTACAATCCCACGTGGCACTGCATTGTCGGGAGGAACTTTGGCAGCTACGTTACTCACGAGACGAAGCATTTCATCTACTTCTATCTGGGTCAAGTGGCCATTCTGCTCTTCAAGTCCGGCTGAGGCGTCCACCAGCGTCGTACTGTACATTTTCCACAACCATTCTGCAGACATGCCTACCTCCTGGTCCCCTGCTTTCTTTAGTCACTTTGTGCTGCCCATCGCACCATCAGCACCAGTAGTCGGTGCTCTAGTGATTTCTGGACCAGTGATCCATCCTCCACAGAAGAGAAAAAGTGTAACGGTGTCCGTCTGGCCACACTTCTGACCGTCTGTTATGGCTCATCATTTCTGGATGTTTTGCTGCGCATTGTGTGCAGGCGTGTTTATTTCACATGAATATGTTGTAAGATAACTTATTTTCAGTGCATTAAAAGAAGCAGCAGAGTTTTTGTTTGACCTTTTAATTCCATTGAGAGCTGATGGACTGTTGCTGACGCACAGGCCGCGATGACGGGGAGAGACTTAAGAGTTTGTATGTGCTTGAACGTTCCTGTTGACACTTGAGTTGTGAATTTTTACATTGTTGCTGCTGCATTTCTCTGGAATGTAAATCGGTCTGCTATTTGTGATATTTCAAATGTGATGAGCACAAACAAACTGTGAGACATTAAATTGGTTCAGAATGTTTCTTTTTTTTTCTTTCTTTGAGCATGACTTGGCTTTACATTCAAGGACTTTAATTTCTTGTCATCAATTGCTACACAATTTATACTTTGACACAAAGTTTCATTTTTGTGTACCTGACCAAAAGTTAATCTGAAACAGTCTCAACCTGATATCATTGTCTGTAATTGTGAATTAACCAGGATTGCTGTCAAAGGTTGCCATTGTACAGAAGAAGTTATTACTAAAACTCTCCCTGTTTAAAATCCTTGGACGTCCGACTGGCTTTCTGTTTGAATTAACAGTTTAAGAATGATTTACCAAAAGATGGAAATTTACTTTAAAAGGTGAAAATTTAGGTATTCTCAATTGGATTGATCTCTATGAAAATTACAGTCCACGTGTAGCTGTAAAAGGAAGAGAAAATTGTTACATTTTTATATCACAAGGGAACACTGATGTGTACTGTCAATTTCAGGTAATTTGCTTTGACTTTTAAGGGATGGTTTGTTCTTTTTTCCTTTTTTGTCGTCAGTCCATGGGTTTCAAAATGGAAGACACTGTCCAATTTTCTAAAGTTGATCCCAAAAAGGTGATATGTTAGTTGGAACATAACCCAATTGTTTTTTTTTTTAACAAAGCATTTCAAGAGGTCTGGATCTATTAATGGGAGATTTACAGGTATGTATTTCACGATGCATTTAATTCAGTTAAATATCCCTCCATATTTCTAGTCAAACTTTGTCCGGTATTGTATAGTTGTGTGTATTTCTGGTTCCTCTGTAAGGGGGAGTGACCATAGATATCTCTATGGGAGTGACGGGCCTCGCGGTTGGAAGCGGAGCTTGACAAAAGGCGGTGGGGCGGGAAACTCCTTCCGGGGGTACAAACATGGCGGCCCCTGTCAGGATGTCGGCGCCGGTCCATGGACGTCGTGGTGCTCCTTCTCTCCCCGCGGCCCCTCTGTCGGCTGAAGCGGCCCCGTTCGTCCCGCTGGCGGCGGACGGGTCGCAGCTGGACGCTTTGGCGGACGCGGAACAGCAGTTTTCCCGCTGCTCCGCCAAGCTCCGAGCCCTGCGGACGGACGCGGGCCAGCTGAAAGACGAGCTCAACCTGCTCTTTGACCAGCTGCTGTCGGAGAACTACAACAAAACCTTCGAACCCAATATCAGTATCCAACCAGAGGTAATTGCCAGCTCGTTTCCCCCGTGAAGTCTTTTTCCAGCCGTCTCCGTGATACGAATAACTCCAACAAGGAGAAGGGGAGTCCCACGGGCTGCGTCACCGTTTGATGCCACATGAGCAGATGATGGACAGTTGGCCGGTATTTGGACCCGTGGATGATTCCCTCACATCAGTAGATTTGAATCAGTGGATTTGAATCAAGATAGTAAATCAACAACAACTAACCAGAACTTCATCAACTAAAATCAACCAGCTAATTGTCTCCTCACCCTTTGCCTTTTATCTTCTATATACTAAACCACCTTTACAAATGTGACAACCAGGCTTTTTTTTTTTAAGTTGTTACAGTGAAAAAGTGTTTTTTATTTTTACTGAGCCTCTTATTTTTTGCTTCCAGGACGTGTGTGTTATGCTTAAACATGCCAGCACACTGGTGCCGCTTACTCAAGAACACTTAGTCATCAAGTTCTGCCAGCTAGTGCATCATCTCCTCAATCAACTAAAGGTAACAGTGGGCAGAAGGACCTGTTCTTTGTTTGCGTTTTTTTCTGTTGGGACTCCTTGTGAAGTCAAATGGATTTCTTCTTTTAGGTGATAATGGACGAACTTACAATGGATGTGTTGGTGAACTATACTGTTACAGCGCTGAAGACATGCAGCACGTGGACGCACTCGGACATCCTCCTGGCCCTCTCCACAGTCGTGTATGGGAATGGGCCCCAGTGCCACCAGGTTTTTATCAAACACTCCACTTTGTACAAACCTAACAGGCCATTTTTGGAATATTTGCAATGAGATTCCTCCCATTCGCAGCACATCAGTGACCTACTGGATGAAGATGGAGTGCTTCTCCAGTACAGCTCGCCATCTCAGCCAAATATGGAGCTGCGCCATGTTGCTCTCACATGCATGGCCAACATCTGCCTCAGGTGGGCTTCTTAGAATGAGCCAGTAGCCTTTCTACTTATAATGGCATTCATTTGATACCCCCCCCCAAAAATATATATTGGAATAAAAACTGAGCATTTGGTTGCATTTAGAGCTCCTTCATTTGATTTTGTTGTTGTTGCTGCTGCCCTGTCTCTGCAGGATTCCAGGTCAGCCCCCTTTGGATGATCAGTACAGAAGTGTCTGCTTCAGAGTCTTCTTAGAAACTCTGCAGATACCAAAACCCGCCAACACGGACGAGCTGTTCTACTGCCTGGTACCAGTTCATGGAGGGTTTAAGTGAAAGGTCAGTAGGAGGTTTATTTTTTAAGGTAAACTATGATTACCTTTGGGTCGTCCGTGCAGGTGATCCAAGCTGCACTGAAGGGACTCCAGTTTTCTCTCTCTGGTGGGAAGTGGAAGTTTGGAGGTGGAGAAAAGCTTGGATCTGTACTGGCTGCTCTTAAGGTAACAAATCATTTTACTACTTTTTATTCTATTTATTCATGAAAAGCATTTCATGTTGATTGTGTATTCATTTGGACAGAGGCTCATGTTCCACGGAGCTCCAGGGATAAGTGCTGAGTGGCCAGCTGTGCTTTACCCAGCGCCCCTTCCACAGTACGAGGTCATCCCCGCCGCGAAACCTGTTGAACCATCACAAACATCTGAGCCACCGAAGGATTCTACGGGGGCAGGCAAAGCTGCAAGAGTAAGACTGTTTGATTTTCCATAGTCTGACTTATCTTAGAAATCGCCTTAAAAATATTGATGGTTTATTTTGTCTGTCAAGAATAAAAAGAAGAAATCCAAAGGAAAGGGGAAAAAGACAAAAACTGAAGGGAGCACAGGTGACGATGGAGAGGAAGAGGATAAAGAGGAAGTGCCTGCACCTCAGAGAAGAGGAGGAGAAGGAAGAGAGGAGGGGGATCCCCTGCCTAAAGGATTTGGCTTGTTTCTTTACCCATCCTGGAAGCTGAACAGTTCAGACTCAGAGTTTTCTGACCCAGAGGGAAATGCTCAAACCAAGTTAAGGTACAGAAGAAGCTCTTAAAAAACGCCCCCCTTAGTATTTTTGTTTTTATCTGCTTGGTTTAAGCTGCTTTTCCTACCTCTTCAGACTGAACCACGGGCGTGTGCGTCAGGGAGCGCTGCACTGTATGTTAGCCGTGGTGAAAGCTGTGGAGAAGAGGAGCCTGTACGGATACTGGTCTTCCTTTATCCCTGACTCTCATACTGGGAGACCGGCGCCTCTTACGCTCATCACAATTATTCTGAAAGACCCTTCACCAAAGGTTAAATGCGCCCTTAGCCATCTTCCAATTGTCCACATGAAGGATACGTTAAATGATGTAATACAGCTCTATCATATCCCTCCATCCAGGTGCGGATGTGCGCGCTTCAGGTGTTGTCGGCCATATTGGATGGCTCCCGTCAGTTCCTGGCTGTGGCTGAAGACACGGCATCGCCTCGAACGTCTTACACGCCCTTCTCCTTCACACTGGCCACTGCCGTCAGAGAGCTGCACTGTGGTCTCAGTCTGGCTCTGATAGCTGAGAGCTCCCCTCAGACTCTCACACAGGTCATAAAGGTACTTTGACACAAGCTTTCTGTGTGTTTGTGTGAAGCCAGTGAGGGAGAACTCACAGCCATACAGTTAAAAAAAAGAACATCATTTCTTAGGTTTTTGTATTAGGACATGACTGATAAACTGTCTACTTCTCACGAGGAATACTCGTGAGAAACATACGTATTATTTTTTTAAAGAAATGGAATAAAGTCTTGTTGGTGAACAGAAACACCAACTTAGTGACTCGGTTTAGTTACTACCACTTTGAATATGTAGGATACATGTCGTGGTGAATATCAACCAAATGAATTTGTGATGTGTTGTCTGTTGACCGTCACTGAATAGTGAAAATTGACCTGTGTAGTAATTGCTTTGTAATTATTTACTGTTCCCCTGTCTTATGATTATATCTCAGTATCAATAGTAGCAGCAGTTAACTCACAAATGACTGCTTTCATATTTTCTCCTTCGTCTTTTTCCTTACTACTATTTGTTCTGACATTGGTCTCTCATAGATTAGTCAGCCATCTGAACTGCCTAGAAGATGTTCTCTAGGTTCTTTTCTCACACAAGGCTTTGTACTGGACTGTAGTCTAAGAGCCATTCAAAGCTAAAGCCTTGATGTTTGCATTCAAAGAAAACGGTGTCTACCACCAGTGTTCAACTAAAGTAACTATAATAATGGATCTCTTCTGAGAATAATACAAACTAATCACACCTTATCTTCTTCTCGTCTTTTTGTCAGTGCCTTGCCTACTTGGTGGCCAATGCCCCC